TCCTCGCCGCCCAGGCCTTCGGAACGGGCGAAAGCTCATACGGGAAGTAGCTGTATCCCGACGGCTTGTCCACATATTTGACTTTCTTGCCCTCTCGGTACGTGTAGATTGACGTCGGGTAGCAGCCAGTAAGCCAGTATAGGGTAATATCAGACAAGATTGTGTTGACGGAAGGCGTGGTGGACGGATCAGTCCACGCCATGAACTTCTCACCGATCCACGCCAGTTGCGCCATAGGGGAACTGGACAGTACGAGACCAATGGTGGAAGGCTTGGTGCCGTGTTCAACTGCATAGGCCTTGCCTACTTCCATGAACTCGTTCATCCTCTCCAGACCTTTCTTCTCCGCTGCACTGAGCTCGTCCTCAGGTGAAGAGTAGGATTTGATGTCGACTGCGTGCATGAAGTTGAGATGCATGCCTTTGCACTCAGCGTATGTAGACGCCAGCTCTCGCGCGATCCAAGCGCCGATATCACCGCCCTGGACGAGGTATCCTGATGCGCCAAATCCGAGAGAGAGAAGTAGCTTATGCATGATGCGGGATGTGTCTGCGACCTTCCAGTCTTGATCCAGTGGTGGGTCGGACGACAGAGCGAAGCCGGGGAGAGACGGTACGATGATGTGGTAAGGGAGGGTATCTGGCGTGTACTTCTTGCTCAAAACTTCCATGAGGGGTAGGAACTCCAAGAATGAGCCAGGCCATCCGTGGAAGAAAGCGATTGGGATAGCGTCTGGCTTGTTGGAGAACAATGCGGCGAAATGGACGTCGTAGCTGCTACCGCCATCGTCATTGATGGTGGCCTTGAAGTTGGGGAGAGAGTTGATGCGGTCTTCTTCCTTGCGCCTGTAACGTGTCAATGCAACCATTCCTTTTCAAATCTTTGTCGCGCCTTCGTACCAGTCAAACTTCTCCATCCATTCCTTCTTCGCATCAATGATCCATTGCCGGCTGATCCCAAACTGGCCGTGGCTTCCCGCATTCTGCTTGTTCTCATACGTCTCTTTCGCGACCGGACTCAGCTTGAGCAGAGTCTTGAAGTCCTGCAACTTCTGTTCCTCAACATGCAGCTCGAAGGGTGTGGGCTGTTGTTGCGCGCCTGCTGGTACGGTGCTGAAGGGTTTAGCTGACGTCATGTTTGCTATTGGCTACTATCCACGATCGCAATTGTGAGACCAGGCAAATATTGAATGATCGTTCGAGACCGGCAGCTCTGGTAGTAGCCTTATATCGTCGTTGTGATGTCGGAGGTATAGCCGGAGAGCTTACAAATGCTGGATAGCTGGCGTGAGGTGATGCAGCTGCTACCTAGGTATACACGCGCTAATGCCGAGTTGGGAAGTCGCTATTCTACCTCATCAAGGGCATGATCTGCATGCTTATGTCATGAGACGCCCTCTCATAGGTTACAGTGTATACACATTGCAGACACGGCATTACAAATGCCTGCAGATCATAATATACACGCGTGTGGTGCTGCAGGTTTGGGGTCAAACAGCTTTCTTGAGTCAAAATCACGCGTCGCTGGCAAGCGTAGAACCACTCCACTCCGGATTCTCGTCGGTGATAGTCGGTGATGAAGCGTTGAGTGCACATTCAGTTTCAATGCCCCAGTTCGCGCAATACAATGAAGTAGAAAATGCTTTGAATTAAGAAATAAAACTATTCGCTCATAATCAGCCAGGCACCTCCACCAAAGAACACCGCGAATACCATGAGAGTAAGAATCGCAGCGCCAGCCTTGTCCCCTGTCGTGATAGAGTCATGCTCAACACGCACAGGTCCCACATCACTTCCTGCAGTAGGATCGTTCTCACTGATTCCACCATTATCAAGTCCGACCGGACCAGAAACTTGATCAACAAGCAAATTCTGCATGACCTCTAATGCAGACATTTGCTCTCCAACGCCGACCTCTTTGTCGTTTCCACCTTGCCACCACCTAAGACCACAGCCACCTTTTCCGGGGCCACATTGTTGCGCAGCTGCCACGGCAGAGGCACGGAGTTTCGGCATGATGCGGTCGCGGGTCCAGGGAGCGGCCAGCATCGACCAGCCCATCCAGCGGGCGAGGTAGGCTTTAAAGGATCGTTGATCGTGGTCGCATAGTCCGTTTCGTTCGCAGGCCATTTCGATCATGACGTCTGGGGCTCCTTGCTGTTGGAAAAAGATGTCGGTACCGTTGATAACACCGCCTAGGCGCTCTCGCCATCTGCCTGCTCGTTCCTTTGTTGCGTTAGAATGAGGGTGGAGTTGGATCAGGTTCAAGGAGTCTTACCGTATCACCCTTCGCTTCTGACATGTTCCACAAGGCTGCGGCACCCGCCATGTGGATTCCAGCGTTGTAGGTCCATTGGATGTGGTTCTTTTCCGTGCAGTTTTGTCTCTCGCTGGTACCATCTAGGAAAGGTACATGTTAGCACGTATATCATCTGATACATATTCAGGAGCATCCTTACCAAAGAAATGGTAATCTGTGCTGATGAGACCAACGCTGTACTGCCAATCCCATGCCTTCTCGGCCCACTCAACATACGTCTCGTTGCCTGTGTATTTTGCCAGCCTTGCTGCGATGTTGAAAAAGCATCCGTTGGAGATTGTGTTCTTGTAGTCGAATCCGGGGTTAAATCGGAAAATTTGCCAGTTGAGTCCACCGCCGCATGTTTCGGGATTCCAACGCGGTACCTGTGTGTTGAATACGGCGATGGCGAGTGACAGCCACGACATTTCTCCTTCGACATCTGGAAGCTTGTTTTCCGCCGCTGACATGGCAGCCATTCCCCAGAACGCCTGATCGTCATTCCCTAGTGTTTTTGTCTGGTTCTCTGGCATAAAGGCTCTTGGGATACCGATTTGGTGGACCATCGCTTGCTGTACAATCTTGTTGTATGTGTCGTCGCCGGTGTAGTACCAGTAGTCGATGAACGAGTTCATCATGGCTCCGCATAGCCACCAGTAGTATGGGTCTGGCAAGTTTCCAGGTACATCGCCGGGCTTATCACCAGTGTACCATTCTCTTAAGCCCGCCGCAACAACTTTTGTCGCATCCTTAATAGAGGCTATTTACGTTAGTGGGGTCCGAAAACAGTTGCAGTGAGCGCACCTGGATCGTCAACATTGAACTCCAGCTGCGCAGTGGCGAATGAGGAAAGCAGGCCGACTGCTGCAAAAACAAGGTTCGAAGGTCTCATGGCGGAAGCTCCGGGGTATCACAGGAAAGACAGGTGTTGGGTATTCGGCATGCGTGGATTAACGAGTGCGCCTGAGGCACTACACAGCGAGCGACGTGAAGCGGAGCCTGAGGTTGGTGTGGAGGAAGCGAGGGAAAACGAGAGAACGAACATTCTAGGATGGCGAGTCGTGATGTTATGAAACCCCTTCGGCCGTCAGCCAAGTAACGGCGTTGAGCCGCAGCAGTAGCTGGGCGACAGTGCAACGCTTGGTAGTCATCCTTCGGTGTTGGTACGAGGCTAGGGTTGGATCGTTTAGACTCGTTAAAATGACTACGAAACTCACGATTGGCTTGGCCATCTAGTCTGGCCCTTCAGGCCCTCCCCTATCATTGATTGCGCGCAGGTCCCGGTTGTCGTTGTACATAGGGGGCTGGTGTGCGTAATGCAAGTCGCCAAGTTTGAAGATGGCATTGGCGGCGCTTGGAAATGTCTTGGGCGCCGAGGACTTAGGCCGTCACCACAGCAGCAAGTCTTCCGCGACGTCCGGGTGGCTGCACTTAGATCAAGGCAGTGGCATCGGTTCCTGCGTCCAGGATGATGCGGGGAAGATCAGATGCTTTTCTCCACTCGTCATTGGAGTTGCGCTGTCCGGATGATCGGGTGGGATGCGTGTTGCTAGGGCCTTGGTGTAGCCGCGTATCCGAAACGGCCATACCCGCATACGAGGGAAGATGCATTTCTTTCGAAATCAAGGATTTGCATCGTCGAGATGACAGCTCAAAGCATTGCGTGATCTAAAGTAGCGTAGTGGACTGCGGGGAAGCCCTCACCAACGGTCAGATTACCTGTCATCTCACACCGCTCTACAAGTCACCGATCTGGTGTTTCGCGACCCGATTAGGTTTCCTACATCCTCGTACCTTCCGGCGCGCACATTGAGCGCGCGTGTGCTAACGAAATGTCGTCGGCGAAATTCAAAACATCCTCCAACACCATTGACACGGATTCTACCGTGGTCCTTCATGCGCATACCAACCCTCAAATCTCCTCGAATCGTCGCCGGAAATACCACGCTGTCCTTCTCCATGGATGCAGAAACCTCGACGAGACGGCCATCTTTGTGACCGCCGTACTCCTCTTCACCATGTCGCCTCTCTGAGCGGCAAGTCCCCTCGCAATTGCAATGGCTGTGCACCTTGCTCCTTCATACCTGGACCTTTGGTCCGAGAGGGTTTTGTTGCGTGTCTACTCACTCTTTGGTGAAGACAGACAGATCGATATTTTCAGCTACCGAGCCTTTGACCCGAATGAACGATCTTTGCTTTTTGCCCGAGCTCTCTGGCTCAGGAAAGTGGATGTCACTTTGTGTCTGCTCGCTCTCTGGCGCAGACAGACGCTGTGGTCTTCTCATCTGCGGATCTTTAACCCAACAGAGCGGCGTTTGCTCTCTACCTTGGCTTTTTGGCGAAGGCGGGCAAACCGTCAGGAGTTTGACGGTCTGGCTTGAGCTCAGAAGTGACTGTCGGTATCGATGTCTGGCCGGAATGGGACGATCGTTGTCGTATTGGTGAAGAAACCGAAGGATATAGCGATGAACCGACTATGGAAGTCTACCAGAGTAAACCTTCATGCCTAGGCCGATGTGGATATTCCACGCCTCAAACCGGCCAAGGTGTGGGTGCTCGCGGAGCTCGTCATGTTCCAAAGTCTCGTCGCTTTCTCTAGATTTTGTGGTCGGGTCCACGAGGCCTTCTTGGAAGCTCGAACTTACTGTTCCATGATCCCGCTTATCATGTACTCTTCTTGCTCTCTGATTGCGGGAATACCGTCAAAGTTTGATCGCTTCAAACGGTGCGGGCTCGCCCGGCTCGTTCGCGCTGACGTTTGCCAGGCTATTATTTGGTTGAGACTTGAGCCAGTTATATACCGCCAAGTCAGAGCGCGAGAGGTCATAGACTGGGTGATGCCGGTTGAACGTCAGCGGCTGAGCCGTGGGTAAGTTACCATAAGCAGAATTGCTAGTTCCGATGCCATCCTGTGGTCCTGGATCCTTGGTAGACACGGCTTTGAAAGCTACCTCGTGTACGGCGGGACTAAGTAGACGGTAGTCATCCTGTCTGCCTTCCGCCTCAGTGCCAACTGCTGCAGCCTGTGGATACAGCTCGTGTAGGACCGTATCGTAGTCGGCGAGGATAGACTTGGTATTGGGCATCAAAGTGTCAACTAGTTGCATTGCTGGCAATTTTGCTGACTCGAACGAAGTGTTCCCCGGGATACCGAGCGATTCCGACATATATCCGGAGTCGAACATGGCTGAGAAGGACGTCTGATCAACTTCCACCCTAAGTTGCGGCGCGACATTAGGAAGCTTAGCCTCAGCCTGCTCGAAGTCTGGGAAGACCTGCGACAGAACACCTTGGGCCCAATCCTCTTGTTGGGGGTTTATGTCTAATGTAAGCTTGATGAGCTTCCCGTCATCATCGATCGTAGGTACAACGTAGTCATCGTCGTCGTCACCCTCATCTTGAGGGCCAAGAAGACGATCAACCTCAGCCCAATCGAACTCATACTGATCGGTCTCTGCGACAATCTTCGTATGTACCGCGTCGAAGAACTTCTTGTCATCTTCAGGCATGCCGGTCAGCTCGAGCGGGCGGCCGTACCCATCGAGCATGTACCCTTCCGCCATCTCGGTATCGATCGCAAGCTCGGCTTCAGAGAAAGGCGAGTGCGTTAACGAGGGAGTAAGTGTGACAGTGGACGCGGAATCGCTCTTCACAAGGCCGGCTTCGTATTCCAAAAATGGCGACTTGCCCCCGATCTCTGGCATAAGTTCGTCGAGAACATCTGGCCGGTCGATATCCGCGCAACTATCAGCTTGTGAAACGTGGTCGTCGCAGTCGAACTGGGCCAGGTATTCGTAGCCGTTGATGTAGTTGTAACTTTCGTCATCCTCGTACATGGCTTGACGTTCAGCAACGACTGTCATGATCGGCTCGCTTTTTACACTTGTGGTAGCTTCGGCGTCTCCGAGGTATCCCACAGACAGACCAAATGTAGCAGAGACGCCCTCTGTATGCGCCGCTGTCGACAGAGCTACTAGATGCGGCTCGAAGAATTCTAATGCTTCCTCAAAGCTTGCAGCTGCTTCGACCCCATTGTCATCTAGAGTCTGGACAAAAGATCTGTGGTCGCAAGGCAGACTGTTCAAAATCTCAGTGATCCAAGGACACAAGTCTTCTGCCGGGAGATCTAGGCTTCGCGTGATAACGTAGTCGATTACAAACTGCCCAACGGTGTAGGCTGGTGACTTCCATTCACGAAAGACAGACATCCCGTCTCTGATATGCTTGAAGTCATCTTCCGTTGTCAGCCAACATGTAGAGGCCACTGATCTGCTAAGGCGCTCGTCGTCTTCGTGATCGTCTTCGAAGTTTCGCTCCATATCGCCTCCCTCGGGCTCTCGGGAAGTCTGCTCGACAGGCTCTTCGACGATTATGTCCAAAACAGGCTCGTGACTTCGACCCATAGGCGTCGCTTTGATAGCTGGTGGAATCTCACACTTATATTTATCTCCATTTTCATCGCCAATGTTCAAATCAGCAGTCGGCTCGTTAAGGTGGGTGAAAAGGTTCTGTTCCGCTGGTAATAATGAGTCCGGATTAACGATTGGGGCACCGAAAACAACGGAGAGAGACTTTGTCTTTTCGACAATTGGTGCAACGAGCTGTGTGATTTGCTCAGCCGAAGACGAGTTGGGCGTCTGATGTGTGAAATCTCTTCCGAAGCCAGCGCCTTCATTGAACTTCGGAGCGCACGCAGGATTTGGTGCGTCAAAGGTGCTCTTAGCGAAGCCAAAGTTGAACCTCGGTGTATCGGGGAGCTGTGCATTTGGAGCGGACTGTGGTGGCACGGAAGTAGGATGGGCACTGGCAATCCTCGAAACCGGATTACTAAACGTGAAGCCGCCGGGTGGTGGAAAAGGCCTCCCTGGCACCGATGCAGGAAGCCCAAAGATGTTGGTACTAGCCTGCTCTGGAATAAGAGCCGGTGGTGCAGCGACCTCAGGAGCTATAGTAGCCTTCTCAGCCAAGTAAGCCAACTCAAAGTTCTTCCGTGTAGTCTGAGATTTTGGGAGAAGCTTGGGACGACGAGCACTAGTTTCGAGTACCGGAGTGTGAGGAGTCGATGGCTTCGAAGCAGTGGACTCGGCCAGCACCGAGGTGTTTTCCTCGCGGACTGGCGGCAGTGCGACCGGCAGACCCAGAGCCATACGCGTGGCCAAGTCGAGATCTAGCATTTTCTCGGAGAAGTCTTGGTAGTTCTCGGTCAAGTCGGATAGTATCTGGTCCCAACCCGTCGTCTCGATCTCGCCGATGAGTTGAACGTACTGGTATGTCTGCCAGATATCAGACCATGGTTCGGGATCTTCATCAGTGATGTCGCGACTCTCCAAGGCCAGGAGGCGAGCAGCGCGCTCGGGCGCTGATAACGACGGGAGAACGTCTAAGAAGACGGCGTTCCAGAAGTGCCACTGGGTAGTAGAAACATGAGCGGGAACGTTGAGCGTTGCAGCCGTCTCGACTGTAGCCTTCAGCTCCAGCCAGCTGACCAACTTCTTTGCCTCTTTGCGCTCATTGTATACACGTCGAAGCCGCGTCTTGATGTTTTCTCCAGAATATAAGGCAGACGTCTTCTTCTGCGTCTTCTTCGAGATAGCGGCCACCTGTTCTGTAGTGCTGGTGGTGGGTGCGGCGATGGGCCCTTGAATAGATCGCAGTTCGGCAGTATCAATTGATGCAGGGTGATCATCGTCGTTATCCACAAGGCAATCGGCGCAGTCATACTCCTTCTTATTCCAGATGAATCGAGTCGTCGAATCCTGGGCAAGAAGGGGGTTCGAAAACGGTCGATTTGGCTCTTGGCAGTGAGAGGGGTCGAGGAAGAGGTAGACCATGTTGTAGAATCCGGCGTAGCGCTGGATGTCACCGGGATGTTCGGTACGCATCATATCAAGAGCGGCGTTCTCTAGAAAGACCGACGCGCTCTTCTTGTACTTGCGTAAGACAGTGGCCTTGACTTCTCCTAGCAAAACGCTTGACGACGGTAATGGGCGGCTCGACATCGTAGTAGCTATCGGTGATTCGCGTGAGTATGTAACAATTATGTGGCGAACGGATCGATTACCTCCGGTGTATCGCGTGTGAGTAGAGAGTGCAGTGCAAGCGGTTGGAGACTGTATCGAGTGGGGGTGGTAAGGCGGAGCACGGACCTTCAGTGAAAGTTCGGACTGGGAGGAGACCTGCCTTAGCGCGCTGGGGAAGCCGTGAGGTTCTGGAATGAGTGGGAAAGAGCGATCTGAGTGGCGTTTTGAGAGTGCGAAGAGGGCGTAAGATCAATTCATGAAAGAAGGTCAAGAGACGATGTCGAAAAGAAGGCCAAGAAGCGTCGGCGCCAAGGCCGGGGTGGGTGTAGGGAGGACACGCGCCTTGAGAATCTGCCCAGATGGGAAGGAGAGACACTCAATGAATCAAGGAACTGTGTCTGCTTCACTGTTCTAATCATAAACTCTCCGAAAAGCAATAGTACAGGAGCGTACATAGGAACATACGTCGGTGACATTGGGGTATTGATGCTAGGAAAATTGACTGGGTATAGTAGGGGGAAGCGCGCGTACTTCATCGCTGTTGTCCTCAACAATCTGCGTCCACCCTCTTTTGGTCGACCATCCACTTCCGGAAAGCTCGTGCCTTACTTCCTGCGCCTATACATGCCGTCGCATCCAGATGGCTAGCAATAGAGAACGCTTCTACGATACGTAGTGCCCCCACCTCATCGACTTCATCGAAAGGTATCAAATCCAGGAATTGCCGAAGCGTAATGGAGCCCAGCTTGACTTGCGACTGGACAATGTAATCGACGCTAGTAACGTCCATGAGGCTCAGTGTTGTTCGCATAACTAGATCCCACCCCTGACCAGCAGAACATTGTCGAGCGTAGAGCTGCTCTGATGCTGCCAATTGTACGAATGCCCGAGTAATCGCATCTTTGGTAGCCGTATGCTTTGGTGTAGTTTCCAGTGTTTCTAGGAAGTCGTCTAGCGAGCCAGTTCCTATGAATGTATGCCGGTGCTTGTACTCTAGATCCCGTTCTTCTGGAGTCAACACGTCTACGCTCGTGGTATAGTAAGCGGTATCAATGCCAGACGTTCGCTTTGTACAACTTTTGACACCGGGCTTTCCATATGGCTGGGTGGCGCTGGCCTGGTTTGCGTGTGTGTTGACTGGAAGGTTCAGAGAGACCTTCCGACGGTGTCTTATTTTAGGGGCGTTATCTGTGGTTTCCTTTGAAGAATTTGCCTTGAACAACAGCAGTCCATCGTTTTTTCTTGATCTTGACCGAAGCGGGATTTGACGCGTTTCAGTAACGTCGAAGCTTGATTGAGAAGAGACGTATCGACGATGCCGAAGAGGGCGTTTAGCGACAGGATCGATTTTGTGCTCTGCCATTTGGGGAGTCCAGGTGATTGACACTCCTTCCATCGAGGCGTCGTTACAAGCTATGTACGCACTGATGTCTTCATCGCATCCTAGCTGACTGGATGTGCATACAGGTGCGTCTTCGAACAAGGTTGTATCTGAGGTCGGGGATGCTGTATCACTGGCGTCTTCAGGGTGTGGCGTCGGAGGAAGAGATCGCGGGGCGGATGCACTCATGGCAGGGAAGCAGAAGGTGGTGGAAATCTGGTACTCGTAGTCGGTTGTCCCTTTCCACGCCTTTGTGACAGTGTCGCTTGCAGGCAAGCCGAATCCGCCAGCACATGGTTTTTGTGCAGCGTTTGCTCCCGTAGCCACCGCGCCTCTGTCTGCGTTGGGTTGCAAAGCCGCCAGAACAGTACTGCCAGTGCGTTCGCTCGTTAACATTGGCCTCCAAACGCCCGGCTTGCGGAGATGTCCTATCGAAATTGTGTGTCAGCTTTTGTATAATAGACCTAGCATCTACTCTGCATCCGACCGGGACTTACTAGGTGCTGTACTAATCTTATCCAAAGCGATGGTCCTGACGCCGACTGCGACTGTGTCGCATCTCTCGTTCGCGGTCGATGTGACGAGGGATTGTACATGATTCAACGCTGGCTGAGCTTGCGCCTCCGTTGTTTGCTTGTCTGGCGTTTGTACAATGGCGGTGCTTGGGAATTCGACTTGATGCTCCGGGCGAGTGCGATTGGCAGCGTCACAAGATGGCTGTTTTATTCGGCGCAGGTATCCGTTTGCGATTGCACAGCAAGCGACAGTAGACGGCTTCATAATGGCTATGAGTCTGGAGAGGGTTCGGACGCATATGACGATTGCGCGCAAGCGGTGGTGGGGCGGTTGTTGTGGTCGGGTGAGGATCACGCGTATCAGGAAAACATGGCAACAGACGATTGCGGGTCCCACTCTCACCAGCCCGAGTGACTTCAGACGATCGAAAATGATTAGGAGGATTCGCAATGCGTAGTGCAACCAAACAATGTACACCATTGCTGTGTCGATAGGCGCATTACGGAAGAAGGAGACCCGGCCAGCGGCGATGTTAGCCTGTAGTGTGATTCTCTTGAAGTCGTATACATACCTTGCTATCTCGATCGATAGCAATACAGGATCGCCGAGGAAGACCAGTGGTGTTGTAATGAGGATGGCGCCAAGTGAGATGTTGTTGTAACCACTACCACGTGGCGACCGACATCTGTGGAAGGAACGCAAGGCAACATGACTTGACAAGACATGCAACAGAAAGAACGATCACAGGAATGTAGAAGAAAGACAAAAGTATCAGCCGAACTCTTCTCTTTCGTTAGAAGGCTGTATCTTCAGGCACCTCCTCCTCTACCCTTTGTGCGCGCTACCCGGACACTGTGAGGAACAAACTTCAGTGCAGACATGCTAGAAGCCAGACTGTCCATGGAATCGGCCGGCTGAGCAGTAGTGGCTGTCTTTGAGGCAGTGATACCTGCTGCGTCTTCTCGTGCAAGTCCGCGGCCTCCGAATCCTCCACGCCCGCGAAGTCTGGTGGGGTAGCGACGCGTTTCTCCTTCTTCCTGAGCTTCTTCGTGATCCATCTCCATAGTGTCACCAGTGCTTGCGCTGGACTCACCTCTCCGCCTCCTTGGAGAACCAGCAGCGCCATTCGTCGAACTCATTGTCGAGCTTCTTCGTCGGTGAGAGGGTATTAGCATGCTGCTTCGGCGATCGATACCGTCTTTTATAACGATGAAGTCGTACTCGCGAGGGAACTGGTGCTTATCAATGCAGTGGAGGCGGCGCTTCTGTGGCGTGCTGCACATGCGATCGCAGTCTGGTAAAAGACATGCATACTGCGAGCTATCAGCTACAGTGTCCTTGTGGAGGCGCTCGTACTCCGCATACCTCACCAGTCTCACTCCAAATGGATAGGCGATCTTGTCAAGAGGAAGGAACCACTCGGGAGATCCGGAAAGGGAAGGAGCAAACACGTGACAAACAACGTGAGGAAATGACCTACCGTTTTCTCTCCCTGGTCCCGCTTTGCAGCATTGATAGGATCGTGATATTCTGCAATATGCAGATGTAGAAAGTGCTGATCCGGAAAGTTCTTGTGGCATTCGCTGCATCGGTTCATGTGAACTTGCTGGTAGTGCACATCGTGGTCTTCAATGGAATTGAACGCAAGCGGTTCGTGCGGAGGCAGTGAGCACTTCATGATGATGGGTTCGTCAGAGACGGCAGATTCGGTATCTAAGTGGACAATCTTGACGTCGGCCGATGTCTCACGCGAGTAGGGTGTGCTGTCTGGTGACGAGGAATCGCGGTGTGAGCGCTTGATCCCCATTGTATGTTGATTGGGGCTGATTGTGACTGTGACGAGGCGTAGATGAAAGGGGCAGTACCTTTTACCGGGGAGAGTGCCGTCTCGCAGGGCTGTTTCACTTGGGCGTTGGCTGTGCGGTGAAAGAGAGAGGGTTGGTAGCCAGCCAGGCCGGGACGTGGTACCTTAGCTCCGAGACTGCTGCGCCCGCTAGTTCTCGCGACTCATCCACCAACCTCACTTTCTCGCACCTCTCACCACGGCCATCGCCTCCGACTCTGACGCCATAGCTCCGCGTCTTGGGCGCTGTTTGCCTCCGAGACCCTCCCGCTCGCTTCTGTCCTTTACGCAGGGCATACCCCCTCACCATAAATGGAGCACGCCAGCCACAACGTCCGCCGCCTGCTCCGTGCCTTCGTCTGACCTGCCCGCCGACCGTGGGGTCACATATGAACGTCGCCGGCTCCTGCACATAGAAGGCATGGCCGCCAACACCGAACAACTCGACAGGTGCGTCATTGCGTCATTCCGGTCATGTCGGCCGGGTGCTAATAAAAGTATAGACGGGCGAAGGCGATCGAGAAGGACCTGTACAAGCGCGCTGATGGCGGCTCTTCGTGCGCCGAATTAGCTGCGGTACTGCAAGAGTAGGCATCGTTGCCACTTCATACCGGCGACAACTAATGTCCGACAGGTACCGCGCCGCCTGCGAGGCCCTTATCTTCTCCAACTTCGAATACGCATCCGCCCGCGAACTCCAGACGACGCTGTGGAATGCGCATCTGAAGGTCAACACCAAATTCAGGCAGGAACATAAGCTGGTGCGTCACCACGCGAGAGAGCACGAGAGGCATCGCTAACACCCGGCAGCTCAAGCGATCCAAGGACCATGTTGTCGAGATCCGCAAGTTCCAAAAGACCTATCTGCAGTTTATCAAGGCCAGCCAGCGCTTCTACCGCCAATACATACTGAACCTCGACACTCAGTTCGACGGCATCCCAGAGCTGCGCAAAATCGCCCAGAAATGGAAGGATGATAGTAAGCACGCCCGGTGTGCGCCCCGCGACTTTGCTGATAAGAGAGCAGCCTCCAAGTCCTCCCCGCGCCAGCGCATCGCCGCGAACCTGAAAACGCAGGTCCTCATCTCTTGCCACCAGACGCTCATCCAGCTCGGCGACCTTTCCCGCTACCGCGAAACCGAACTCGTCGAGAAGAATAAGGACCGCAATTGGGGCCCAGCCAAAGGCTACTACGACCTGGCCGCAGAGATATACCCAGATTCCGGACATGCGCCGAATCAACTCGCAGTAATCGCCCGCGAGGACGGCGATCACTTCCGCTGCGTATACCACCTCTACCGCTCGCTAGCAAGCAAAGAGCCCTACCCGTCGGCCAAGGCCAACCTCGCAACCGAGTTCAAGCGCGTCATAACTGCATGGGACAATGGGCAGCTCATCAACAACCACAAGTCAGCCGACGGTAACACCGGTCGGGCTTTGATTGCTTGGTTCATCAGACTGCACAGCAAGCTCTACAAGGGCGAGGAATTCGCGGCGCATGATGAGTTGGAGGGCGAGGTGCTCAGCCACTTGGCTATCGAGCTCAAGGAGCGCCCGTTGGACTCCATTCTGACCAAGATCATTCTCATCAACATGTCAGCGGAATATTTTGCGACAGTGCAGTTGCAGAGTAAGTTGTCCACCCTTCACACGCTAACTTGGCTAATCGTAACAGGCGAAAACCCACCCCCGAATATTATGCGCACCTATTTCTACTACCTTCGTCTGAACGTCAAGACATTCTTCATCCTACTACAAGTCTTGCAGCCGGAGTTGGACCGCCTTTCCGAGGGCAACGATGTGACGCACCAGAACGGCGACCGCGCGGCCCATCTATCCGACAAGATTACAGCTGTGGCACGCCGCATTCTCCCAGGACTTCGTCTATACAGCACCTGGTTCACGCGGTACTGGAAGGTACTCAACGCCAATATCGCCGATACCTTGAATCCTGTCGACGTCCAAGAACTCTGGAAAGCCTACGCTGCTACCTTGTCTCTTCTGGCCTCGAGCTTTCCCGTCGACCAACTCCCCCAAGAAGACTACATGTTGGAGGAGGATACCGATACGATTGGTTTTGAGCCGCTCATCTCCCCGGATACCATGAAGCTCTGGTATAAGGGGGATGTAATGAAGCAGAAGTGGACTGAGCTGGAGCGCAACCACCCCAACGTCGAGATGCTTATGCGAGTGAAGGACTTGCTGATCGACGGTCTGCTCCTCACGCAGATTGACGATGCACCACTAGACTTGGCGGGCCCGCGATTTATCTACCGAGAAGAAGGATTACCATCGGAGCTTCTGGCGAGCCCAACGACCCGGCCTGATGGATCTCCTGTTCTTTCAGTCCAGGCCACTGATATACCTCTGTTCAAACACACAGAGGCGCCTATTCCAGACGACCAGAAGTCACACTCCGTTGCGGCAGCTTCCGAATCTGCATCCACTACGCTTGCTAAGGACAATGCGATGCGCAACATGGTGGACGACCTAGTAGGCGACGAGACCGGACTGGACCCTTTAGTTGAAGAAGACGAGAATATCCCACCTACGCCACCAGAGCAGACATTCGATGACACGGCCGTTGTCAACGACAACACGTTTGTGCCAGGAGCATTGTCGATCAACGACTTGGTCAACTCGGTTAGGAACTACAAGCCTTTGTCCCCTGCTCCCATGCCTGCAATGCTCTCCACGCCGATGGGTAGGTCGGGTTCTACGTCTTCCATCCGTCAGCCACCAAACCTACCTTCTGTGCCAGATGGTCAGTGGAACTCCAACTCCATCTGGAATCGCACGCCAGGCCCGGCTTCTCCCTCTATGCTAAACACCAACGGCCTTGGCAACGATCTCCGTCGACCTTCGATGAACGATAAACCCCGGATGTCTGGTCATGTGCGAGGGGATTCAGCAAACTCGCTTCTAAGCGTCGAGACTGGTACTCCTACTGCTACTAGAGCTCCCAGTGGTATCGGCAGTGGCGCTGCATGGGGAAATCACGTCAGCAGCCCCTCGAACTGGGGATCGCCATATGGCAGCGACTTGAACAACAACCACCAGTATGGATACGCGAATGGAGCAAACATGGCGAGCCCGCTTCTGTTCAGCTCCTACCGGGGCAATGCCGAGAGCTCCTGGGGGCGTACTCCTCCCAACGGCCAAGGCGGCTGATCTAATGCCAGCGCAGCCGTAGCAGGCTGCTCAATGCTGTCTTATCATCAGTCGTTACCGTCGCTAGACATACGGTTCGCCAGACTACCAACCTGGTTACTACAAGACTGTCGTGTCGGAGTTGAAGAGCTCCGTTGGATGAGTTATGAGCGAACCCTCCAACCAAGTGAGTGTGGGTGCTCTTCCGCATACGGCATGTGTGCTCCCATCATGCTTCGCTTGCGTGCCATGACTTGTCCAGAGCACCATCGAAGATCAAGGGAAGGTAGTTCAATGGGGCGATTTGCTTTACAGACTGAAATTATTGCGTTATTGCATGGGTTGGTCCTGCAGACCAGCCAGGCTATGGTCTGGCTCGAGAAACGAATTATCTTCCAGATGACCAAAGGCTTTGAGCTTCTGGGTCGGAGATGAGTCTAGTCTCAACGTGTCATGCCTGGTCTGGAAGATCTACTTTACTTTATAGATTAACAAGGAGTTTTGCGTATGACCACAGGCCTTATAGTTGCTGTGACTTCAAGCCATATCCCTCCAGGATGCCTTCCGTCGTATGCACGGCAAGATGCTCCACCCGGCTGCACTTACCTTGCTCGATTCGGGACTTTACGTGTCGGTGCAATTGTTAGCGCGGAGCTTGCTGCCCCTCGCTGTCCGAAACCCTGCCCCACATTCAGCACTTTCACTCCATTACGACACCAACGTCTTTTATTACACACACAACAAACACAATGCCTGGAAACTACGAACTATTCTGCCTCGAGAACCCGCTTCTGGACATCCAGGGTGTCGGGTAAGTCTATCGGCCTTTAGCTAGAGTCGCAATGCTTTGCAGCAATTGCGGAAGAGCACCAGAGTGAGCTTTTGCTAACAGCTAGCAGTGACCAGGCTCTCCTCGACAAGTATGGCTTGAAGGCCAACGATGCGATCCTCGCCGACCCCGAGAAGCACATGGGCCTGTACGAGGACCTTCTCCAGAACTACAACGCCGTCCTGATCGCTGGTGGTGCCGCCCAGAACACTGCCCGTGGTGCGGCTTACATCCTCGAGCCCAAGTCGGTCGTATACGTTGGTTGCATCGGCAAGGACAAGTACGGCGAGACTCTCGAGAAGATCTCTGCCGATGCTGGCGTCAAGACCGAGTACCTCTACGATGAGAAGACTCCCACTGGTCGCTGCGGTGTTGTCATCACCGGCCACAACCGCTCCATGTGCACCGATCTTGCCGCTGCCAACAACTACAAGATCGACCACTTGAAGGAGGAGCGCATCTGGAAGCAGGTCGAGAACGCCAAGGTCTACTACGTTGGTGGCTTCCACTTGACCGTCTGCGTACCAGCCGTCAAGGCACTGGCTGAGCACGCTGCTGCCAAGGACAAGGTATGAAGACCATGGGTGTGTTGAGAAAAGATTAGTGTGCTAACAGCTTTCTAGCAATTCATCCTCAACCTTTCCGCACCCTTCATCTCGCAATTCTTCAAGGACCCTCTCAACGAGGTCCTCCCTTACGTCGATATCGTCATCGGCAACGAGACCGAGGCCGCCGCATTCGCCGAGGCACAGGGCTGGGAGACCAAGGACGTCAAGGAAATTGCTAAGAAGCTTGCCAACACACCCAAGCAGAACAGCAAGCGACCCAGGACTGTTGTCTTCACCCAAGGCACCGACCCAACCATTGCCGTGACCGCAAAGGAGGGCGGTGACGCTGACGTCAAGGAGTTCTCCGTACACGCCATCAAGGAGGAGCAGATCAACGACACCAACGGTGCCGGTGACGCGTTCGCTGGTGGTTTCGTCGCTGGTATCGTCCAGGGCAAGCCGCTCGACAAGGCCATCGACATGGGTCAATGGCTTGCCAAGCTCAGCATCCAGGAGCTGGGCCCTTCATACCCCCAGCCCAAGCAAACTTACAGCAGCTAAGCGCTCTTCACACTGAGTGAGCGCTGAAGCTCGTGTATTTCAACAATCTACGAGGGCATGCCATCGCGAGCAGGTTCGTGCTTGCCCGTACCTAGCGACTGCACATCGATGTGCGCAGCTAGGTATAGGCTTCGTCGAGGCATCATGGAGGTGTTTCTGGCGTAAGACAAAAAAGTAGAATCTGGCCTTTCAACAGCCGGAGATAGATACCCTCAGCTTTGATGCTGCTAAATGAATGAACAAATGAATAAATCAAGACAATAGGTATTCTATGGATTCTACGTTGACCTCTTACGAGACGCTACTGGTCGTCGCGTCGTCAAAGTAGTAAAGCCTACAACTAGTATACCTTGAACTCCGCAATCCTAACCTTCATCCCCGTCTTAGGCGTGAAAACAACCCTAACCCTCTGTCCCTCAACCTCCTTCCACTCCGCCTCCGTAATCCCATTCGCAACAACATCCCCATACACCGCATCCTCCGCATCCGTCCACTCCGTACCATTTCCACCACCAGGCACCTGAATCTTATAGCTCTCCGGCTCCGCAAACCCTTGTTCCTCATTCGCAAAGAACGCCAGCTCAGCACTACTCGTAGTAACGGATTTGCCAAAGTCGATCTGGAACCAGATGGACGTTCCGTTGCCAAGGGGGGAATCCCAGCCGTTTTTAGCATCTGGCTCGGTGTAGAACCAGATCCGGCCGTCGATCGCGGGGTAGGTGGCTGACTGGCTGGAGTTACCGACGGAGGCTGACGCGCGGGGGTAAGGTGTTGTAGAGTTGAGTTGGATAGACTGAGCGATTTTCCTGGTGATAGCCGGTGGGTCCTTCCTCTCCAACTCAACGGTAACACGGCTGAGACTGGGACTTGACGCAACGACCTTCCCGTCGACTTCGACGGTTAGACCCGTGCTATTGCCGCCGTAGTGACTACCGTCTTTATCCCATTGCACGGCGATTTCGCGGCCGTGGTACATGATGCGTTCGGCGCGGAAATACGTCAATTGGGCGGCTGATGCCAAGGGGGCTACTTCTAGTACGTCGTCGGAGCGAGGTCGTATGCCAACGAGACCGGAGAGGACGAGGTCGTTGAAACCAGAGTGGAAGTAGTGATGTGACCGCTTGAGTCCTACGATGGGCAGGCCGGTGTCGGGGTAGTAGTCTTCTTCTAGATCTAAGATGTTCGTAGAGGGGTTTCGGTGGAGCTGTGCGTATTGACGGAGGAGGTTTGTGTAGTCATCGCTGTTGATGATACCCGTTTCCTTGCCCTTTTCGTAGTGATCGAGGAAGTTGGCGAGACCGGACAGGACTTGTGTCATTTGAAACGGCCACACTGGGCCGTTCCATTGGCATTCTGGGTTGGGCCCTTCGTACCGGTACTGCCGCATGTAGTACTCGTAACTGGGTTCTACAGTCCTTAGGCCGGCTTCTCCGCGTAGTTTATCGGCGTCGAGGATGTGAGCCCAGGCTTGCGCGTAGTCTGCGTTATCGTCGGGTAGATCGTGGGTCCAGGGGACCATGCCGACGAGTTCGCGGCCGCGGATGGGGTCCCAGTAGGTTACGTTTTCGTTGTCGACTTGGTAGCGGTCGATGAAGTGGGAGAAGGTGCTGTTCCAGAGAGCTTCCTGGACGCGGTTTTTCAAAGCTTCGGCGCGGCTGTTGTATGTATCAACGGTGCTGTTCATAGACCCGGCTAGGGATGCCATGTTGGCGATAGCAAGCGCGTTGGCATATTGGTAGCTGTTTATGCTGGGCCGAAAGGAGTCGCCGCCGAAGAAACCGTCGTAGCCGCCTGATGAGTCGATGGATGAGATTGTGTATTCGGTTGCGTCGCGGATGGGTTCGACGTAGTAGAGCCCCTTTGACGTGTCGAAGGAATCGTCCCAGGCGTCGTATACGCGCGTCATATCGGAAAGGCGCTTGATGGCGTCTTCCTTTACGCCGTCGACGAGGTAGCCTGCCCAGACTGCTGCGGCCATGCTCTCGGAGAATTGGCGACTGTTGCTGTCGGCGCTGTACATGAAGGTCGCGTAGTCTTCTTTGAAGCGGCGGTCGCGACACCATCGTCCTTCCAGCAGATGGAAGCCTGTTGCATCGTTTAGACTTGCAAAGGGTTTAGTCTGCCAGCCGACGTCGTCGAGGAATTCAGTGGAAATGTAGCCGTAGGCACCGAGATCGCGTTGGTGAGCACGGAAGATGGACCAGCGGTAGTAGTATACATCAGTGATGTCCTGGTCGCTCGACTCGAAAAGAGGAATGCGGTCACGGTACCATGCTGCGTCGTTGCCGTAGTGCTTATCCACAATAGCGTCGACATCGAGGAGTGCGAAACCCAGTTGGAACAGAGGGATGAAAGCGAGTGAGCTATAGAGCTTCATGATGGGCAGATGGAATCTGTAGTAACAATCTCAAACAATACCATACCTTTCGCCCGTAGCGATCCCCTTCCTTTACATAGTCTGTCCTCCTCTTTACGATTAAGTTTACCGCGCATCCCATGATCCGAATGCGAGGATCCTCGTCACCTTCGTTCTTCTCCAGATTTACATTCGTGACGTGCGCCGTGCATACTGCTAGCCCGTGCCATCAGTCGCTCTCGCACCGCGGAGTATTTCTGCAAAAAGCATGGAGCATTCGTATCTGGCATCGCGAATCAACCGACGACGGTGACGGCGCCTTTCCGAGCCAGGTTCGATATGAGGAGCCCCACTTCTTCCCCGCGATCTGTGAGATCATCACGGAGAGAATTTCTCCGTCGCAACGTTACACAAGATTTAAAGCTGGTTGTATAGAAATTGTTATGCAGTATTCAGCCGGTGCCGCGGTTGTTGTTCGTGTTCGTGGGGTGAAGATCAAGGTAGTAGACCAGGCTCACGGCGTCTGGGGTAAAGACCGGGTTCTGCGATTCACGACCATGCGCTAATGTGCCTAACTTCAAGTATTGCTCAATTAGAATACTAAGATAAGAACATTCAATTAGATCGTATTCAGCCAGCCATCGCAGCTATACGTGCATCCCGTGAAATCATTATTCGTATACGTTGATCATCATAATCCATCATTCCGTCAAGAAATCAGTATGGTGTGTTGCCCTTCCTAATAGCCTCCCAATCCGTTGTGCTCTGACCCGGTGCCGGACCAGAATGTTCGTGGAGCCCATGAATGGCAGGGTTACCGTCTGTTCCGCCAGCACCGGTGCCGAAGCGCCCGGTGTTCATGGGCAGACCAGTGTGTGGCTCAGTGACCGTGTTGTCGCGGTCTAGATCCGAGACGGGATGCGCACCGTGGACGCCATGCTGAGTTTCGCTGTGTGTACGTTAGAATTGGTCAAAGTTGTTGGAACGAAAAGAATGAGCTTACCGATCGCCTGAGATCATGGTTGGGTTGCCAATCGGACCATCAACACCCATGTGCTCCCTCTTTCCTACCGAACCAGTCGACTCGGTCATCTGCTGGTGCTCCATAGCCTCACGGGCAGGGTGACCTTTCGGTGGGTCCTTGTGAAGCAGGTGCTTGCCCTTCCAGCGCGGTGAGTCGGGTTGATCATCGCCATAGTCTCTGGAGTGTCTAGGGCTGTAATCGCGAGACTGGCGCGGTGAAGATTCAGGACTGGCAGTCGACTTTTCTTTCTTGGACTTGTCACGGTGCAAGAATCCAAGAAGGCCGTGCTTCTTCTTCTCCTCGCCTTCGTTCTCTTTCTCAAGCTCCTTCTCACGGTGATGTTGCTCCTTGACCAGACGCGCTTGCTCTTTCTCGTGTTCCTTGGCCAGACGATGCTCGTCTTTCTCGTGTGCTGCGACGGCCTTGTCGTGCTTGTGCACTTCTTTGTCGTGCTTGTGCTCTTCCTTGTCAAGTCTATGCTGCTCCTTCTCGCGATCATGGGCAATCTTTTTCAGACGCTCTTCCGCCTCGCGTTCGTCTTGGTTCTGAGAGTTGATGTAAGCTGCACCACCTAGGCCCGCTGCACCTGCGGCGCCACCCATAAGAGCCGCGTTGCGCTTATCGTGACTGTCATTCACCGGAACTGCCCCAGGTCCCCAGGGTTGAGATGACATTTCCTGGGTATGCGTGTTGTGTGGTGCGATGGTACCTGAGGTTGGGTACGATGCGCCTGTGCTAGTCTCGTGCATGGGATACGAAGAATGTGCCATACCTTGCGTTGGATACGCGGTTTGACCGGAAGGCGCGATGGTACCTGAGGTTGGGTACGATGCGCTTGTGCTAGTCTCGTGCACAGGATATGAAGACTGTGCCATACCTTGCGTTGGGTACGCAGCCTGACCGGAAGACGCAATGTCTTGCTTCTGTCGAAGTGGAAGCTGAGTAGTGTTGTCATGTTTGGATCCAGCGTAAGCTCCTGCTCCCAACCCGGCAGCTGCAAGACCTGCTCCTCCAAGCGCGACATTCCTGTTGATGTGGTCGTTGGGATCAGTGCGGTTGACATTGCTTTGGGTAGTGGGGTCGTTATAGTTGTATTGACTTGTTGGAGAAACTGGGTTGGTCGCTCGTGCCCCGGCAGCCGTGGGATCGTATCTCTGGTCTGGCATGGAAGCGGCAGGCTGAGTCATCTTGTGGTCGCCGTACGCGTTGATAGCGTCTTGTGCTCGCTGTTTCATGCTCTGGTTACCGTACGCAGTGCCAGCAGTTCCAGCAGTGCCAGCTTCGTATGCTTCAGGCTGTGTCGTCTTGTGATCGCCATACGCATTGCCGGCTTGGTATGCACCGTAACCGGCGGCGCCTGCACCTCCAACCAAAGCAGCATCCCGGCCATAATGATGCTCACTCTGCTGGCCAGCCTTCTCGTCAACCTTGGGGTCCAGGCGATTCAACGTGTCTGACTGATGCGGTCCAACTGTGGTATGCTCCTTTTGCTTGGATGGATCAGGCTTAACTCTTGGGTCGACGATATTGGCAATGTTGCTACTGTGCGGGCCGATCGTGCGCGAAGCAGGGTCCTCAGCTGTTGGTCCGACGTTGTGGTGTATCTGTTTGCTTGGCTCTGGCTGAACCCTAGGGTCCACGATGTTGGCAGCGTTGCTCGAATGAGGTCCGATAGTGCTGGAAGCTGGTCCGCTGTCGGTGTTGTCACGGTTTGCAGCATAGAGACCACCGGCAGCAGCAGCGCCAGCTCCGGCGAGGCCAGCATCGCGACCATAGTGGTGCTCTGGATGTCTCTCAGGAACCGCGCTGGCGCTAGATGTTTGACCTAGACCACTTGATGGTTGTTGTGCACTCGTATCTGAAATTGGTGCGGGGGCTCCTGTGGCACCGTAGAAATGATCATTCGCAACAGGCTGAGAGGCAGAGGTACTCGCAGTGGTGAGCGGCTTAGAGAAGTTTGAGGTTGGCTGAGGAGCAGCAACATTCGACCCCGTGGCAGAAGGGTAAGATGAATTTTCGGGAATCGCAGAGTTAGTAGTGCTAGGATTATCGTTCTGGTGAAGGATGTGGTGCATTCCAGCGGCTCCTACAGCACCTGTGCCCACTACTGCAGCATCACGGCCGTAATTGTGCTGTGAGTCTGTGGTCTCGGACGGGTTGTGCGAGACAGGAGGGCCAGAGATAGCTGAACCACTGGTAGGAGCCGTCTCAGTTTTGGCCGATGGATCGAACCTCTGCTCATCGAATCTCTGCTCTTCTGGCTTCGAAGCGCCTAGAACACGAGGGTCAAGCATCTTGCTACTGTACGGGCTAGACTCTTCGTACAAGGGCTGGCTGCCAGCAGCGTCTTGGGTGTCGTGAGTCTTCGAAGCTGCATGCGCACCCAAGCCCGCTACGCCAGCACCAAGTCCTCCAGCAATGGCAGCATCGCGAGCGTAGTGGTGGTCATCTGCGGACTTTGGCTGAGGCTCTCCAAGTGTTCCAGTGTGTCTCAGCTCATGAGGTTCGTTTGTAGATGTGGGGTCAACACTCGAATGCTGAACGTGAGATGGGTCCAATGTAGACGTAGGCTCCGCGGCCGCAATCGGTGCGCTTGTGTCTGTGGATGAGGATTGAATAACGGGGGCGTAATTGAGGAATGTCTTCTCATCGCTAGGTGTAGCAATGTATTCGCCAGGAATGTGCCTATGTGACTCAAGTCGGGGGTTTACTGGGCGCTCACCAGTGCTCGACATTCCAGTCATCGGAGCTCCAGCGATAGGCTGAAGAGCTTCTGCCGCGTTGACATCCCGGGTTCTGTGCTCATTCCCGTGAGTAGATGCAGGAAGAGCGGAAGAATTCGAGGCGGCTGCAGTGGTGGCCGCCGCAGTAGCAGCTGCCAAAGCTTCGGGATGGTGACTAGACGTTGGATGGCTCGAAATATCGCCTGTCTGAGGAGTTCCCGTGGTGTCACCCGGTGCAACATGTCTATATGAAAGCTGGCGAGTATGGAGGCCTCGATTCCGAGCACCCTGTGCCTCTGGCTGCCTCTCTGGCTGCGAGTGTGCCTGAGAAGCGCCAATGGCAGTAGCGGCGGCGGCTGCTCCAGCCAGCCCTTCCCTCCCGTAACTATCTTGAGGGGGGCTGTCATGAACACCGACCCCCCTCTCTGTTGTGCCAGAGTCGAGTTCGCTGATGCCTTTGTTTTGGAGAGGGGAGGTGTGCTCAGTCGGGTATTGGGTGGATGTGGGATCTTGATGAGGTTTTGAGATGACACCGCCCGCGAGAGGGAAGGATCGATCAGTATCGGCGGTGTAGCTCTCCTGTCGCAAAGTGTTCTCATATGGTTGGGTTTCCCTCGCATAGGCAGGATTAGCGCCTATTGAATCACCACCGATGGAACTGGATTCTGCATTCTGGTCAGGTCTTGCGCATTGCATAGTAGATTAGATCTACGTACGAGGATATGTCTGGCCTGGGTTGACGCCTGTTCCTTCGGTCATTCCCGCTCCCCTGGTCATGCCGGCAGTTCCATGATCTCCGCCTCCAACTACTTGGTCTTGACCAAGATACTCCTGAGTGGGATTGTGTGTCGACAAGGCAGCATGTCCCTGGTTGGCTCCCGGACCAAATCCAATAACGCCGCTCTTGATGCTCGCGACGCTCGGGTCTGCAGTGTGGCCATGGGGGTAGGCATCGGGACGCTGAGCTCCTCCAGCAGTCGCGGTTCCGCTTTGGAGAGGCTGCGAGGTGTTGGAGTAATCTTGCGTCCGGATTGGGTCATGAGCTCCGGTCGCAGCTGCCGTCGTCCCAATAGGGCCATCGGTACCAACATGTATGGGTGTTCCATGTGCACCACTTCCGTGAAGGCCTGCTGAGCCGCTTCCGTGAGCCAAGTCTGTGTATGGAGCGCCACTAGTTGTCTTTATGTTGTACATTGGCTCTCCCGGAGTGTCATTCCGTGCCTTGCGCTCGGATGTTTGGCTGTCGTAGATTGGGTGTTCCTGGCTGGGATTGATATTAGTTCGGGCTGCAATCAAGGCGATGTAAGCACATACCCCTCAGCAGTAGAAGAGGATGTAGGCGCATCGTGGGCAACCGTGTCATCCTTCTTGTGTCCGTGAAGGACGCTCTTGATCTTCTCCATGGTGTTGCTGTTTGCCTAGGTAGCTAGGATGCAATGCAGCGGAAGGATGAGCTTGGAAGGCTCTAGTTGTAGTCAAGGATCAGCTCAAGCGCGAGACTAGAGTAGCAGAAAGCAGGGCACAGCTCGTGAGGTGCACGGCGTGCTGGCGTTTGTTGTAGCTACCTAGCTCGACGCCGATGAGGTCATGCAGAGGGGTTGGCGGCAGGAGCTAGACCCCCACCTTCCAATGGCATGGCTAGCTACCGCGTTCCAGCCACAAACAGACGCGCCTCATGCCCATTGCAGCGGTTCGAGCTGTCGCTGGTGCAGGTGAAGGTGCACACGGAGCCAAAGCAAGTTGTTTGACATGCGGGGCAGCGTCATCCTGGTATACGATCACTCGATTCGAGGTCGGAGGGCCGTCGGCGGATCCTCGGCAAACATCCTGACTTGAATGCCCAGGCGATGAGTAACCTTGAAGGCAGTGCTGCTTGATAGATGGTAGAGTGAACGAGTTGGCGTATCACATCCTCATATTCGACAATCTCGCGTTGCGGTGTGGCATACAAATATAGAGATGACTTCACCGATGCGTCCCACACGAATCTACCCCACACAGTTGCGCAATTTCCGAGCACCTGACCAAGACGTATTGAGGTAGGCCGAATGCAGGCACGCGGCAACTGAATCTGAAGGGGCCCGGTCTGTGGTGGGACGTCAGATCTTGACAGAACTTAGAAGTTTGCATGAGTCCAGGCGTATCCGAACAGCCTCGAATAGGCTGCTCTGAGGCTCGGCGTGCACCTCAACGCACCATCCCAATACCAACCACCTTCCGCACCTGCGTGCCACTATCCGACAGTCAGCGAATGAGCCTTCAATGAGGCCTGGGTGCGCGAATTAACGATAGTGGCAAGCCATGGATGCGACTCCCAACGGCAGTTCACCCTCCATCAGCCTAGCGCTCACCCACGCGCAGTCTGGCCCACCTTTTGCTGCACTGGGCTGTCGCTAGCTGGTGCTCGGCCGACCGCAGCCCAGTCGCTTCACGCCGCCGTCTGTTGCGCTTTTCGCGCCTGCTTCCATTCTAGAAAACTTCTACCGCCAGGCATGGATGCATGCAGCAATAGTGTCGCGCAGTGGGAGCAGTTGACCCCCCCTTCGCGACTCGGCTCAGCGTCGTAGCGAGCCTCCGTCACCCCCAAGCCTACGCCCAACACCGCCGTATTGAGTGCAGGGCGCTTCTCCGCGTTTTCTTCTAGCCTTGCAGCGCGTTTCATCCGCTGCAGCTGTCGCCATATCATCCAACCCTCCCTCTTCCCCAGTGCTCAGCGCCCGACCTCTGGAGCGTCCCACCGCAGTTTCGGATACTCCATCTTTTGCCCAGCACCCGACCAGGGCAAGGATAGCACCAGCGTCTGTGCTCCGACCCACTCCCTAATCAGCCTCACCCTGCTGCCGACATCATACCGGACCATCCTTCCGAGTGCCTCTGCGCTTGTTCTTCAACAACGCTTTTGCACTCTCAGCATTCACACAACACCCACACTCTACCACCTTAATCTCCTCTACCACTCAATCACCCCCGCAGCTCCGTACCGGCCACCACCCACCCGCTCTGTTATTCTTCGCCCACAATGCCTGGCCATCTCCGCACTCGCTTAAAGCGCGTCCTCACTGCTGGCTCACACAAGAATGCAAAACCAGAGGAGCCCGAGTCGGATTTCTACAAGCCTGGAGAGAAGATGCCTCCCCTCAAGTACCGTCGCGCCGTCGACCCCGAACACAAGAAAAAGCTCGAGGCTTTCAGCTTTTCGACTGCATGGCGCCGCCACAGCAACGCCTCACTGTACTCACCCATGGGTAGCAGGCTACCGAGCCGCAGGAGCAGCTTTAGGAGAAGAAGCCGCAGCCGTAGTATGCACCGAAGTCGGAGAGGAAGTTGCTCTTCCGACTACGATGCTGAAGAGTGGGTAGACAGCGGCATCGGAGCGAGCATCGCCGGTGACGACAGGCCGGCAAACATCAAGGAGGCGTCTGACGACGAAGGAGATGTGCTCAATGGTGTGTTTGACTATGTTTGCATATAACCGTTGCGTTACTAACATGCCCAGTGGGCCTCTCCCGTAATCCAACCGAAGACCCTCGCGACGCCCGCCGGAAACAATCACAAGGCGCTCGCCGCTCCAGCTCCGTCCAGCTCCAACAGCCTTCGAGACCCGCTACTGGCTCAGACCGCACTCGCAACCCCTCGCAACCTTTCTCGCCCGAAGAACTCGAGATCGCACTACAAAGGTCGCATCTCGAGGCCACAAAAGAGGAGTCGGACAAGAGTGCCAGCGAGAGTCCATTCGAGGACTTTGACGACCCAAGCCCTTTCCTGAGGCCGCGTGGTGGATCCATCTACGTACCATACAACGGCCAAGGCACGCCTCCAAAGCTGCCCTTCTGGGGCACTGCATACCCCTCGTGCGACGACGCACCGTCCAGAGGCCATTTCTCGAGACGGGCATCGGTTTTCCTAGAAAATGAAGACGGCTCTTGCACCCCGCAGTACGATCGCCGCGAATCTTTCTTCGTCCCAATGAACGCCCCGGGCCTGACGCAAGCACGTCAGATCTCCGTCTCCGATTCCAGCTCCGCTGAGGACGAGTGCGTATGTCCGCCTCAAGTTGCCGAAGCTCCGCAACGCAAACCCCAGCCTTGCGCTCCTTGTGACGCCATTGCCGCGATCCTCGCGAGGCCTGATTGATTTCTCTCTGCATTAGCGTTCACTTCACATTGTCGATATTCGATGCATTCGGTCTGTACATATTGTCCATTGCATTTCTCGGCGTTACTCCATGTAAGAACCCTCTGATCGGTTCCATGTTTACAAGCCAGGCTTGGCTTTTTCCCTTCACGTTTTGGGCTGGAATGTCTCATAGACTACATCTGACATCGTCAACGGTTTCACTTTCACGTCATCACATAATGAAATTCTTCAAATTCTTCACATCTTCAGTCTTGTCACGTTTGAGCTCCGTCTCGTGTCTGTGCGATCACAGGTGTACTCCTATTACTCCGTAATAATAATTCACGAGTTCACAATACACACGCGATTCAACAATGTCTGAATTGAAGATCGTTATGCGTCGGCAGCACGCGCTCCATCATTCAACAGTGAGCGACGTGCGGTCTTCGGAGCCGGCCACAGCCACCCACGTGCACCCCAGCAGCCAGCGATCATCACAACCTGCATTGCCTGCACCGTCACTCGCTGAGCCTCACTCTGCGCATCCCAGCCACGAAAAGAAAGAATCACCCACTCCCCAATGGCCATCAAACACGACGTCTATCCTCGCCCAGAACACGCGTCGCATTGCGTCGTCGCGTTGTCCTTCTCCTTTACCGCTCTAATTGCACAGGTCGTCGTCGCGCGTGCACGGCTCCGATCAGCTCTGATCAACATCAATGTTCCTTTTTTCCCTTTTGTCTCGTCTCCTCCCACGCGGTGCGGCGGTGGGCCTAAGTGCTCAACTCCACATTTACACTTATGCATTGCAGCTCAACGCGCGCGTGAAGGTTTGTACGGTACGGGACTCCGGAAGTATTGCATGTATGTACAGTAACAGGGTCCTGTCAACCGCTTTTTCCTTTTACCTTTTTGCGCCGCCTACGCCCGATGCACGATGCAGACGCGCGCTCGGCCCACTTTGCTCCCGTTCCTCGTTGTTTTCGTAGGTTCGTGGGGGCGGGCGGTTTTTATTGATAGATGGATTTGCAGCTGGCCTACTCCTACCTAGGCGTTTGTTTGCACGTTATGCTGGATGCGTTGTAGTATCATGTATTACCCCGGGATACATCTAAACCTATTCCAGATCCAAGGAAGTTCGTTTCTAGCAACGAACCAGTAGAAAACCTCCCATGGAAGAAACCTTCGATATGCAGATGCATGAGAGATAGTCACGCCATGAGTGCAGTGGAAGAAGTTTGCGCTTTGCCGGTACTTCCGTTGAGGTGGAAAAGGATTGGGATATACCCTCATCGATTCGCCAGGGAACACTCATCCGATTGAGCAGGTGCATCCTTCCTCCACCCCAGGAGTACAGCGCGGAACGCAGTGCGGAATGAAATAGGCGGGCAGATCGCACGATGATGCGAGTCGTGAGCGGCACGGCATACATAGCACAAAGGACGGCTTACCTCTTACGTACAACCGCTTAGTCGACTCCTCGCGTTTTCTTCTCACGCGATTCGTCTGCGAGCGCGCCACCCCACCCCGCGCTTGTTCCTCTCGGCGGACTGGGCGAAAACCGTCCCTGACGTAATGTCTTCCCTGCTTTCCGCCATGAATGCCGCCGAGCGCAAGATGAGCAAGTGCCAGATGGCCTAATCCTTGGCCGGCCTGGCGTGGTTTTTTGGTTGCGCCCCGCCGGGTTACTTGCTTTGCGCGAGGTCGTGGGGTGGGTGCTGCGGAAGGTTTTCTGAGTCGTGAATATTGGGGGTGTACCTACGCGTTTTGGCACATGCGGGTTTTTGGGCTACACACGAAATTCGATGATGGGATTCTGTTGGGTTAGGGCTGTGGCGAGGAGATTCTCGGATCGCTCGGAGAAGGATGGGGTAAGCGGTGCTGGGAATAAGGGTGGGATGGATATAAAGATGAGGATGGGTGCTTGGGTGATGTAAGATGTGTGGTGTGTGTGTGTGCCACCGGGAGAATGTGAGCGCAATAGCGTTACATTTCACGGTTGTCACGATGGTTACATGAATGTCGGCGGGTGATCTCTTGGGACTCAAAGGGTGATGTGATGTGATGTGATGTCAGACGGTGACTGATAATTGGTATATTTGACTTGCTGTTCTGTAGATGTTCTTGGCGTACATTGGTAGATTGAAGACACTGGGGCGATGTCTCTCGAGGTCATGTGTTAGCAATCATTGTTGAACACTTCGTACTTCGTTTGTGAGACGGGCCGGCCCACGCTCAACTTGAAGCATTCTCACAAAAGAATATGCAATGACAGCATGTATACAAGGAAGCAACCGCTCGAGGTGTATCAAATGTACGTGCTTGGCGCTACGCAGATATGGTTGCAGTGTTTCTATTTCGCTGAAATCCGGGTTTGGCTTCGTATCATATGTATGCACAACAATCTTATGTATCAGATTTGGGATCTCCTAAAAGGTATACCAGATAACCTGCCTCCTTGCAAGGGTAGGAGGAGGCACCCCTGACATATAATACTAGCAAGGTAGGACGTGATTGAACTCGCGGTAGACTCTTGATCAGATCCGATTATCAGATTACATGAAACGCAGTATGGAAACCCGCAGATACGTAACGCGCCAACGACACAGCGGAGAGAATGCGGAAGATGTGGTAGATGTTAATGAAAGCAGCGGGTACGAATATGGGAGCCTGAACTCGAGTCGATTTTCTTGATACTTGTCAAGTTGGGTGTAGAGTGCAAGACGGCTTTCCTGGGCATGGTCGCTCACCCGTGTCGAGACTAACATGGTTGTGGCTCGCTCTGCCTTGTATCAGGCCTTAGCCGTCATGGCGACGTTACACTGACGTCCATTCTTCGTCTGTAGCACAGGTACATCAAGTCTCTTTCTTCGTTCTTGTTAACGCAGTATGAGACCTTGAGCTCCATTTCATGCTCGACAACGCATCTGCACGACGATAGTGCAGCTCCGATGTATGTGACGTAGGAAACAATCAGAGCTGTTGACATCATTTATCGAGGAAAGAATAGTCGACATTATGCTGACTGAGGATAGTTCTCTTCTGAGATGATGAAAAGCTACACGCAGATCAGCCAAACTTCGCAATTCTCGCCTCGCGCATGCTCCCGCTGCGATAGACAGCATCTAGTCGAATCGTCCTCCCCGTCTTCAGTACAGTTTGCGCTTGAATGGAAATGCTCGGTGAGGTAATCCAGCATACGTGCTCGACAGTAGCGCGAACCGGGAGGTTCGGAGATGATTGAATCACGAACCAGTGCGCGCCAATGGGATTCCTTCCGAAGCGCGTTACGATGGTACGATCATCGCCACGCACCCCAACGCCTCGCTCTTACCAGACTATGTCTCGCGGCCCGCCGTTGCGAATGGTCGGTGCAGGCACAGCTCGCAGTAAACATGGCAACGAGAGCAGCGGAGACCCTGGTGCCAGCCCAGCGCGGGAAATGAGCCCACGACAGTGCCCATCTTGCACCACATTTACCTCGTGAAAAGCTGCAGACTCTGGACAAACATTCCCGCATCCGGGCACCTGTCGCACGCAAACTCCACACGGCACAGGCAGGACTATGCCCGCCCCTCGTTAGTCGTCCGACGCTTTACTGCTTCGCTGCAAGCTGCCCGATATCGCCATGCGCCGAGATGCGCCATTGACGGCAGAGGCCCAGCTCCTAGCCCCACTTTGGCTGCCCGAGCCGACGACTGTGAGAGCGAAACACCAGGACAAAGTCCAGCACATCGAGGTCACGCACTTGGAGAACGACTATGACATCTCGTCTTTAGCGCTGGGTTTTGTTCCGTTCCCTTTTACATCTGGTGGCGGCGTTACCTATAACACAATGGACGCTCCCGAGGCGCGCAGGTTCTCGACGAGCACGGCTGAGCGCGTCGGCTTACTCAGGGCGCACGAAAACGCGGCGAAGCAGAATCAATATGGCGCAATTCCGGATCCCTCTGAGATTGAGAGTCTGCTGGGCGGAGATGGGACGACAGAAGAGCTGGGGACCACGGCGGGACAGGAAGCCAAGTTGCTGCTGAAGTACAGCGTTCCGTTGATGGGGACATACTTGCTGCAGTACTCATTCAGTTTGGTGACGATATTTGTCGTAGGGCATAGTACGTTTGACATCGCAAAAGTCATTGGACACAAGCTGATTCTTATTGTGTATAGTCGGAACGGATGAGCTTGGTGCGGTTTCGCTAGCCACAATGACAGCCAACATCACCGGACTAGCAATCTACGAAGGACTGGCCACATCACTAGACACTCTCTGCGCGCAAGCCTACGGCTCTGGAAAGAAGACCATGGTAGGTCTCCACCTCCAACGCATGATCCTCTTCATGTTAGCTGTGTCCATCCCCATCGGAGCTATCTGGCTATGTTCAGGTTGGATTTTGGCCGCCCTGGTTCCCGAGAAGGCGATTGCGCATCTCGCTGGATACTACCTCTCGTTACTCCTCGCTGGAGCACCAGGATACGCCATCTTCGAGGCTGGCAAGCGATTCACGCAAGCCCAAGGCCTGTTCAACGCTTCGCTCTTTGTCTTGCTCATTGCGACGCCTATCAATATAGCTTTGAACTATATTTTCGTCTTCGTTCTGGATTGGGATCTCACGGGTGCCGCTCTCGCGACTGTCGTCTCCAACAACCTCCTACCGCTGCTGCTTTGGATTTACGTATACTTCGTTAACCCGTCTTCGCTGGAATGCTGGGGCGGCTTCACGAAGGATGCGTTCACCCATTGGGGGCCAATGGCAAAACTCGCGATTCCAGGTATCGTCATGGTTGAGACCGAGTGGCTAGCTTTCGTAAGTTTCACGCACTGCATGCTCGGACATGGAGCACATGCTAATCCTCTAGTAGGACATTCTTACCTTCTCCACAAGCTATCTTTCCACAGCTCACTTAGCAGCACAGTCAATCGTCATGACACTAGCAGTAGCCATCTACCACGTCCCCTTCTCCGTCGGCGTAGCCGTCTCCACCCGCCTGGGCAACTTAATCGGCGCCGGCTCCCTCTCCGCCGCCCGCACCGCCACAAAAACGTACATCCTAACCTTCCTCGCCATCGGCCTCATCGACTTCGCCTTCCTAACCGCCTGTCGAAACGTCCTCCCCAAAGCCTTCACCAGCGACCCGGAAGTCGTCAGCATAGTCGCCACCGTACTGCCCCTACTCGCTGCGTTCCAATTCGCGGATTCCACGACCGCGCTCGTAAACGCTTTACTCCGTGGACTGGGAAAACAGAATATCGGCGGCTGGTGCAATCTCTTTGTGTACTATGTTATTGCGGTGCCGTTGGCGCTTTTCCTTTGTTTCAAGCAGGATATGAAGTTGGTGGGGCTTTGGACGGGGTGTGCGGTGGGTTCGGCCTGCATTACGATATCCGAGGGGATTTATATGAAGTTTTACAATTGGGATAAGGCGATTGATGATGCCAGGGAGAGACAGGAGTAGTCTGGTTTGAGAGCTTTAGTTTAGAGAGGGGGAAAGAGGGAGAGGGAGGTTCAGAAGTAGACGTGGGACATGTGTGGTTTCAAGTCCATAATAAAAGCGAAAGTGAACAACATGAAGCCTACCTTGACGTTGGGTCGCCTACTTTACATGTTTTTGTCTTTATGTAGGCTGCAGACCTGTTCAACCTTTCCGTGCATGAGGTGAAATAACGATCTCAGAGAGATACGTACTTAATACAGAGTCAATAATATGAGCTATGGACTGGTTGTAGAGTCAGACAAACAAGGCCTGTATGTGCTATGCTAGGTATCTATACTTAAATCCAAAGGGATTCCCCATGAACCCATGTCGCTAAGCGCTCTTTCCTACGAAACTCCAAAGCATCAACATGAACGCTACACAAAGAAAACAACATGCGGCTTGCCAGTAATAAAGGTCCCGCTCTCATCGTCGAATTGATAAACCTGGTAGAACCATGCCCTCCCAACCTCAAGCTGTAATACGCTGCCGTTAACAAGAACAAATTCCAAGCCTATCTACCGACGAGCGAACTCGATATCTCCCTTGCGAGCCGGCTTAATGTTGGGGTCGTACCACCAAACACACACAATAAGCGTAATCATCATAGGCAAAAAATCGTATACATATATCGGCCACTCGTGAGACAGCAGATAACCATCCTAGTTCCATCCATTAGCAGTGTCACTCAACCAGCAATCGAAAAGATAGGACAAAACATACCTTGCCCATCGCATACTCAATAACCCTACAAAGGTTACGAATAGTAATGCACACACTAGCCGCATACAAGAACCAAATCAACTTCGTCCACGGAATATCTGCCGATGCAGCTGTAGGTCCCTTTTGGAGTCTAACGTGCCAGATACCCGCTACGACGACGAAGAAGCCGAAGATGAGGATTTGGAGAATGAGGCCGCCGAGGATGATGTTTTCGCCGCGTTTGAAGCCAGAGGCGTCGGAGGCGGATACGAGCATGCCGGCGCCACCGCCTTGGATCATACTGGGATACCGTGTTAGCATGATGGATGGCTTCTTGGGAGTTGTGTTGTGTTGTGTTGTTTTGTTTTGTTTTGTGGAGACGTACAAGCAGAGAATATCACCGCCAACGAAGAGCTTGGTCAACCAGTTCACTCTGATCAACGAGTACTCAGCAGAGTCTGTACGGCGAATGAGACGACCGAGGATCATGTAGATGGAAGCGGCGAAGAGGATGGGTGCGAGGAGGATGAGTGTGGATTGGATGATGTAGGGGGTTTTGTTCTCGGTGTCGTTGTGGGCTGCGGCTCGGGCGGAGTAGCCTATGGCTTCGCACTGGAGTGGGTGTTAGCAATGTGTTTTCTTGGGCTAAGCAGCTTTTGTAACCAGAAACTGGAGGGTTGGAAGGGGGGATTGGATACATACCAGAGCTCCGATGACGAAGGGTATGCAGAACCATGTTCTGTTCTTGACAAGGCGGTATGTGTGGATGAAGAACAGTATGAACATGATCACGGCGGTGATGGCACCGGCTGCGATGGTAGGTGTGTACGGCCAGAGTACGTACTCTGGTATCGCGTTTGAGTCGTCTACTGGTCCCGGTGTCGACATCTTGGGTGGGAGGAAGGGGGTTTGAGGCAAGAGCCTTTGTGGTACCACGGAATCAGATTGAAAAGTTGTGGCAATGTATTCGAGAGATTGAGAAGTGTCTGTGGTAGTACACTGTTGGACTGTTGGTATGTGGACTGAGGCTGGCTGATGGAGAAGAGTATAGCAACGTCTTTATGTATAGAAGTAATAATGAGAAGCCGCGGGGCACAGCCTACCTAGCGTATCCCGTATCTAGATTCCCTGGACCCGTACATAGATTGTCCGAGCAACGTTCCCGCCTTCAGTTGGGATGCGTACACATCCCGGATAGAGAAGGAGAAGGGTCTGTGCATACGACTAGCGCATCCAGATACGACACTCCAATCGCATTGTTGCCAGAATACTGAGCTCCACTCTTTTTGTTCTTTCCTCGAACATCCTACATTAGTTCCTCGCGTACAGTGGTGTCAAACACGGGGTAGCAGGAGGAAGTCTTCAATGTCGCTTCCAGAATACGTCGTAAATCTTGACGTGGTGCGTGCAAGTAGATAAGTCGGCTGCTTCGCACGTTTCGCACAGCCTCCCCCTGATAACTATCATCGCTTCGAATGGTCGTGTTCTACGCTGACCAGCCAAGTCCTGTAAAGGTAGTCTACCTGATCAGTCAACATGCGGATACTCGAGCCTAGCCTGATTCCACTTACGACACAAGACTTCGTCAAGCCAGCCACACATTCTTCGCAAGCATATCCCAAAGCAGTCTGGTGGAAGGAATAATCAATACTGATTTGGCGTAGGGATGTTGTTTCGATGCAATAGTTGTGCGCAAGCTGGCGGTAATCAAGCATGTTTGCAACCTCCGCGTCTCCGCAACGGGCAGCATAGCCTGCGTCGGAGGATTTGTTCCATGGAGGAACATCTCGCCTTTTGCAGCAGGTCGGGAGCGTACACAGCTCGGCGCACAATGATAAAAATGTCGAATGCCAAGAAAAGTTCCAAGGCTTCATGTCGCATGTCCAGAATATGGTGTCGGCGGAACAGAGCCACCTCGTATCTGCTCCTTGGGCCACTGAAGCCACTGCTTCCACTCGCTAGGGACCATGTGATCCGCGATCTTGAGTATCTGCTCTGCGAGCCCCTCCAGATACCAATAACTCGCTGCCGCTCTGTGCATCATGACCGCGTAATGTGCAAAGATGATTAGAGATCCCGGCTGCTTCTCCGATAGAAGCTCGATATAGCGATTTGAGATGAGGTGGATCCAAATCTTCAGCAACGCGTCGGAAGGCGGCTTATCAGACTTTTCCGCGACCTGGAAGACCAGTTCGAGGATATGGCAGGCAAAGCCATATGCATCCACGATATCGGGAGGATAGACATGATGGACGACCTCCGAGAACTTACGCAGTTGCACAAGTTCAGTATTGGGTGGTTGTTCTTCTGTCATCCAATCAATATCTTTGACGTCGTCCGGAATCATGCGGCCCAACTCGCTCGCCTTCATTTCCGTGTAAAAGCCAGTCACCATGGGCCGTATCCTCCGGGTCAAAACCAGATTAGAAAGCACGCTGTCGAACGCGTGCTCCATATCCGAGTGAGCTGCAACTGAAGCTACACATGCGTGTGGGAATAGGACTCCGGCAAACAGAAGAACCGCTTTGAAGTTCGAATGATCGATGTCGCGAACCGATGTTTGGAAACTAAGTAGAGCTGCGTCATGGTACTTCTCGGCCTGGTACGAGTATTGCGGAGCCTCTTCTGGAGCTGAAGTTCGGCTCAGATGTAGCGCGCTGAGAGCAAGAGCTGCCTGAAGGAGGTAGGGATGATCGAAAGCTGTCTGTATCAGAAAGGTCGAGCACACATCCTCAGCCTCAGTATTATTCGCTGCGAGGGTTTTGGCGGTGACATTAGTATAGTGACTGCGCACGGAGTCAGTTCAAACTTCTTGATATTTTCCGTAAGCAGTGAATATGTTCTAGTGACCGAAAGTTATGACCGGTCTTGGAGGTAGAGTGAGACACTCTCAGAGCGTCAAGATCGAATTGGAAGGACGTACTGGAGCAACCGTAGTTGCGGTATATTCAGCGTCAGATCAGGCCGGCTAGATGCGCCATTGAGATCGATGGTTCCAAACTCTGGTAATGGTTGCTGATCAAGAGCATTGGCATGACCATCTGTGGATGACGGCGTAAAAGCTGGTGTTCCGACCGGCAAAGGCGATACATGGGACGCCTCACGACTCTCGCGGTTGGTGGAGGGTCTGTATTCACACACCGTGCCTTGCTTCACGCAGTTTGCGCAGTTGGGCCTCTGTTCATCGCACTTCGAAGTTTGTTAGTCGCAAGTAGAATTCGTAACTCGAATGGGAAGGCGCACTTTGACATGTCGGCCTTTGCACGGTAAGCAGCCGTTTCGCGACTTCTTATGAGGCTTGCGAGTCTTCGCTCTGTCCATGTTATGTTGTTGATGCGATCATATCGGAGGCTTGTCTGGAGGAACGCGATGGGCAGATTGGACGATCTACGCTTGTGATGCGTCACCCGTCGACGAAACCGGGAGCGGCACTAAGATATGGCCCGTGCACCCGAGACAGCCGTAGCCTACCCGATACAAGCACTCGAAGCACAGTTGTGGCTGTGTTCATCGTCTTGCAATTACTTATGAGGCAATCGGGCTCAAAAGGACAAAAATAGCACTGCATATGGTAGAGATGTACGTGATTGGCCGTACATACATCTTCACATTCGTAACCAACGTATCTATCATATCAAAAACCTCAGTGGATGTCCACCACGTCCCACGCTAAGTCGAGCAGAAATGCGTAACGCCAGCGCAATGACTATATTCATGCGATTACTCCTCCTCCTCGTCTTCTTCATCCTCAAGATCCGTCCGCTCAACGATCAAATTACCACTTCGTCCAATGCGCTCCTTGATCGTGCCACCAGTCTTGAGCTCGTACACCTCGCGCGGCATAGGGCTGACCAGTTGGAACTTGTACTCATGCTCGAAGTCCTTCGGCTCTTCGACTTTCTCCTGTGAGCTTTCTTCAGACTGCCGGATATCGTAGCATTCAACGAACGCGTAGAGTTCCTCGATGTGAGCATCCGCGGCGAATTTGCGGACCACACGTTCGGCATTAGGCATGCGAAGACTGATGCGTACGATGTCCTTTTCATCGGGACTGGGCTCAGAGCGAATAGATGCGGCACGCCATTTGCGCCATTGGGCAAGGTTTTGTGCGTATCGTTCAATGGCTTGTTCTCGCTCAAGTGCTTCCTTTTCTTCTCGGGCTTTCCGCTCCGCTTCCTCCTTCTTCTTGCGCGCCTTCTCTCGGTCCGCTGCAAGTGAGCGTTCATATGCGCTGTTCTGTTGTTCTCGGATATTCCTTGTTGCTTGCTGTTCAGCGCGCTGACTGCGTACGCGATTCAGCGGCTCTGTGTGTTGCTGCATCGCCTGTCTTAGCTTTGCGATGTACTGCTGCGGGGTTGTAGGGCCGGCTACGCGCGCCGCGATTCCCATGGCTGTCGATGACACTTGAGGTGTGTGTACGATCAGGCCGGTAAAAGGGAACTTTGTGCACGATAGCGCGGCAGAAACCTGGTATGCCTCCGAATCTTGCACATTGCCCGCCCAAAGTATGATGTTGTTCTCGGGGTTTCGTACAAACTCCACGACTTCTGGTGCTAGCAGTGTGTCCTTTATAAAGGAAGACGTCTCATCGTGCTCGGGACTGACTAGCACGACCATCAAGAACTGAAGGTTCTTCTTAGCCAGATCGAAGGCTTGTGCGTAACCGCTCTCAAAGAACGGGAGGTTGTGGCTGCCATATTCCTCCTCAAACTCGCGGATGAATCGCGCCGCGGTATCTCGTGGGTTCAAAGGTCGGCGTCCGCTTGCGCTGCGTTGAGAGGCGGGTGTGTTGATGTTGCTAGCCGTCACCCTCCCCCATGCGCGGGGTAGGAAGGGGAATAGCCAGCCTAATAGTCGGAAAGACTTTGCGAATAACGAGTACACGAGCGAGAATGGCGCAAAGAATATCGCAAGCACCAGCGGAACTTGTGTGGTGACTTGGCTTTCTGGCTGCGGGACCACCCTTGGCGCAGGCTCTATCCTGACTCTCCTCCCACTACCTGTTGAAGATCGCGGTGAAGCAAAACCATTCAACAGTGTCTCTTGTCGGCGGATGTCTTGGGGTGGTGGTAATTGTGCGGCGGCGGCAGCGACTGGGTCTTCGGTCGGTTCGCCGTCGAAGAAGCGGGTTACTGCTATGTTGACATTCCATTGCGCGCGTTGGAGAATTGGTATCGCGTCGGATGTTGCTTGGTCGGTAACGGCGGTGTATTGCTGGAGCGCGGCTTGCTGGTCGGCTGTGAGGGATGCGATGTCCACGCCGCTGTCCGCCATCCTAGGTGTTCAGCTGGTCTGATTCTGGATTGAGGTTTTGAGTTGTGTGTGATCGGATGCCAGATTCTGCGACAGAGGTTTATATCGGAAAGGACTGTAGTGTGGAAATATGGTGTAGGGTGAAAGTCTTGGTCTACGTGTTGCCTTTACAGCGGCGATGATGTAGCGGTGGTCGGAGCTTACGCTCGAACTACGGGACAAAGGTGAGGCTAACCTTGAATGATCGGCCTTTGCCACGGAACACTAATAACCCACGGGGTAGTTGGTGAATCAGCATAGTTGCGATTACTCTCCCGTTTACCACAGGATGGTTGTGGTGAATGCTGCCGCCTAATATTGTTGAGGCTACACATCGAATCTCCAGACCATCCATGGATGCGCTGAACCCCCTTGCCAACTTTGCGCGCCGAGTCACATTTGCTGCTGCAGGTGTCATTCAACACAATCGAGGGCGCACGACAACGATTCCAAAGTTGGGAATGGGATTGCAAACTTTTGGCAACCGTATCTCAAGTTTTCCGTTATATTTTCGAAACATCTGTTGTGTAGTTAAGCCCGAGCATATCCTAGTCAGTGATGATTGGGATGCATATGATGAAATAACAGCTCCCAATTCCGTCAACACTCTACTCAAGCATCATGCATTCCTTCAGAGGTTCTCCAGTCCAAGAGACTTTGAATATGCCAGTGGTTCCGGTCGTCGCAATTCAGTAACCTCAGCTACACAGAATTGGCCTCAAACACCGCAAGAGCCTATCTAGATAGCAAAATTGATAGACTAATCGCTTCACTTCTTTCCAGTGTCTTAATAATATCATAACACCCTTACCATCAGTGACAAAGTGAAACCGACCCAACAGGAGCTAGTACAGAGCAGGCCCCACTAAGCAACGTTACCGCTGTGCTGAAGTTTGTAGGTGCCCAAGCGAATTTAATCCAGCCCCGCAGCCACTGCGGGGCTTTGCGTTTTCTCGCTCTGCCCACTAAACGAATCTTTTGGATGCTCTTGCATTTCATAAGTACATAAATCTACAGTTGCCACTTTTTGCCATCAATTACCAGTAATTGCCCGCTTGGCGTAAGTTCATCTCCATACAACACCTCCACCACCAACATCATCTAACATACATCCAGCAAGCGGTAAGGCGTCGCACTTGTAATGCGAAGATCACTCGTTCGATTCGGGTAGTGGGCATAGTTCACGGTCTCTTTTTTGTTTGAGGTTTGGAATTCTTGTTCAGCCATCTTCTCGCATCTTTTTTTGGGGGGCACTCGACCTGCAGCACTTATGTACGAACTCTCTCGAGGCACGATTCCGTCTCCTTACTAAGAACGCCGTACGAGTGGGTTAAAAGGCGTTGAACCGCTTACTCCTGCTTTTTGTCGGCGTTAAACAGAGATTAACTTAGAGACTCTACAACGAACAAGCTTCCACGTTCTAGTTTGTGATAACCCCAGGATGGGAATATCTTGAAGAGCTTGTGTAGTGGCTACTTGTTGCTGTACACACCTCAACAAGTATGTTTAATATGTCAAAGCTTCTCAGTGCTAAAGCTCCATACATTTGCTGTGTGCCGACAAGCCACTGGAGCTTCAGATGTTGTAGAGAACAGCTAGTACGGTGATTCCCCTCAGAACAGTTCTTTCTTGACCACGCATTGTCTTGAGCTACAGAGCGTATATGTGCATAGAGGCCCGAGATGTGTAAAGGTAGATATATATTCGCATGAAAATGGGTATGTACAAACTCCCCCCAACGCCAGCAACTCTCTCATCCATCTCCACGATCACCGCCTCCCCGGCCCCAACCCCCCAGCCCACCACCCCGAATCAACCCAATACCTATTCTCCACCTGCGCCGTCTCCACCGCCCTAACCAGCTTCCTGCGATCAACATGCAAATCCGCATGCCCATTCGTCGCCTCACCAGGCGTGCGCCTGCCACTCCTTTCCTTCCTCAACCCAGCAAGTCCATCACCGACAAGTCCATCTTCAGCCGCAACCTCAGTATCAGACGTCGACACCGGCGACACAGACCGCGGTGTCGAAGACGTAGGCGAGGGGGAACTGTACGGAGAGTACGATGTCGGTATAGCGCCTAGAATGCGGCCAGCAGCGAAGACGCAGCCGCCGATTGCGTGCCGGATTAGGGAGTCGCCGGTTAAACTGCCGATGATGAAGACGTCGCGGGCGACTTCGAGGGACGTGGCTTCGGCTTTTGCGCGGAGGGTGCGGCCGGAGATTAGGTGGATGGAAGGCGTGTCGGGAGGAGTAGTGTGCTCGGGTGTGTTGAGGATCTCGGCAATGAGGTTGGGGGAGAGGAAGTCTAGGGTTCCGCGGCGGCCGACGACGTAGGCTAGGCCGCCTACTTCGCGTGTTATGGTTTCTCCTGATGGGAGGCGGAGGGTGACGGTTGCTGTTTTCCCAGAGGTGGATGCGCGCATGACTTCGGCGTTGGTCAGGCCTTCGTAGAGGGACCAGTCGCGCTGTTGGAATGGATTTGATTTCCGTCGCACAGAAGGGGACTTTGCGGTCTTCTTCTTCGATGCGACTGCTGCAAGCTTCATTTGCCGATAGACCGTCGCATACTCCGGGTATGCGGTGTGGTGGCAGCCTCGTAGTGGAGACGGCCTCTTCTCGGGAGCCCACTGGTAGATGTGAATGATCCTGCGAGTTGGAGGCGCTGATATGATGACATCGGCAGCGGAGAATCCGGATCCAATGACAAGCAGAGGCGCCTCTGGCGACTCCATCTGCGCAACGGGCGCGAGGTACTGAGGCGGCGGGATGTTGACCGTGAAGATACCAGAGGCAAGCACAAGATGCTTGCACCGGATCCCTAGACTGCCAATGGAGAACCCGCGAACCGTTCGATGTACATGTTCCACCTTCAACCCAGTGTAGATGCTATCGGCGATACCCACAGCTTCCGGGTATGTCCTCAGATAGTCAGCAACCTCCACCCTCGATGGTCGCACGAATTCGGCTTCATCCTCCCTTCCGCTCTTAGCCAAGTGATCCGCGTACGAATAGCCCGGGAGGCTCAGCTGTTCCGCATAGCTCAGCGTCCCAATGTCCGCGCTCGCAGAGACCGGGTTCTCCGCCCACTGTCCGCCTGCATGCGCCGTGTCTCCAATCGCGACATGGGGTATCGCCTTGTCGGGCTCGTATCGCCACTCAATGCAGGACGTAGGATTCAACTCGGTATCGGCATTCGGGCGAACGAGGGTATCGAGTAGCGTGTTGACGGGCAGCGCTTGGGTCGAGTAGCGCAACGAGGACAGGAAATGCGCGTAGAGGTCTGGCGTCAGATGCAGCAGGTTGGGCGATTTCTGCAGTTTCGCGTCGAGAATCGCGTCATGATGGCCGCCAATGTAGTAGGGGATATGGCCGTGTAGGATGTACGAGAGGATGAGCGCGGACGGCCCATTGCCTGGAATTTGTAATCAGCATGTCGCCTCGGAGCGCGTGTTATTCCCAGGGCGTACCAATGATCAACGTGTCGACGCATTTCGGAAGCGAACGAGCCATGGACTGTTGCAGCAGAAGGCCATGAGGAAGTCAAGACCGGCAAGGGCGAAGGGAAGGGCGGATGGGGCTGTCAATAGTGTATGTCTTCAACATGACGGCTTCTTATTTTCTTCGGCGCTAGAAGCGGCGGAACAGGGACCGCAGTGGGGGACGTCGGGTCTCGCCTTCCAGATTGGAGGGGTCGGTTGCGAGCCGTCGCTGACCAAGCTGGTGCATGGGTGAAAGTGCCGTATCATGGTGACGATTCAGGATTCAGGCGCAGTGTGGAATCGATGGATTGCGTGATCGCTGCACGAGAGCGACGCGTGAGACGCACGAGGTCACTGCATGGCCGTGGGGGTGCGCTTGCAAGTGCGGGGCAGGCAAGGTAGATAGCATTAAACTCTAAATCCAGATGAAAGTCAACTATGGTATCTCGTCCTAACTGTCGCGCTCCAAACCGCCCTGTAAACTACGAGTTGCAAAACTCTGCGCAAGAAAAAGAGCGTGCACTTTGTGATTATCGATCTTGTGACTATCGATTTCAAAGCACCGGGATTACCCGTGGGATCCAAGAGTGAAATCGGTCCTGCCAAACGCTACCCCACATCTCACGTCCGCGTCTAGTCCGCGAGACGACCCATGGTTCCCTAGTATCTGTACGTGACGGTATTACGCTCTGCGACGGGCGAAACGTCAGGGGCCTGTTGCTGAGGCACGTTGAGATCGGGAGTCCGAGGTCGTTCGGCCCGCGGGCGCATGTGGTCATCCTCTTCTTGAATCGTCGGTTGCGCACCGTGCATGGTCAAATTATTGGCAGAGCTCTCTTGCCGGCCCAGATATGATGGAGTAGACTGGAAGCCTGGATGGTAAGGGTCTGGTGAGCCACCGTAATTGTTCGTCGACGTAGAGTTTTGGTACGACGCTGGAGGTGTGTAGGTTGTCGTGTAGTGGTCAGCGAAGGGGTTCTCTTCTTGCGCGCTCGATTGTGTGCGGCCTGGTGCAGCTTGCAGTGACGGGGGAAGAGAGCTGTTGTCATTGCCGTGGTTGGTAGCCGATGCGCTGGGTTGTGTCGTTCCGAAATCCATAGGGGCCAGCGAAGGCGCGTCGTTGTGCGATGGGAGATTTGCCAGCCCGGGAGACTGCGCAGGCACACCAGCTGGACTACTGGTGCCGTTGGGTGGTGGCGCGTAGGCACCGTTCTGTACTGGTGGGGAAGGTGAGGCACCCATGAATTTACGAGCTTGAAGGATGGCGCGCTGGTGCTTGGAGGCAGCGAGGGACAGCTGCTCGTTGGTTTCGATGAGAGTGAGCATAGTGTCATCGTCAGGCGCCGGATTGTCGCAGGCGATGTAACCATGTATACTGCGCTGGGCGGCCGTGCAGCGCTCAGCGAACTCCTTGACCAAGTCGTTGCCGAGCAGTTCATTCGCTGGTGTAGACTGTACGAGCTGGAGGAGTAGCTTGGCCGATGTACGCGCTTCCTCGATGCGCCCCGCGAGCTCCACGGGTGGCGGCAACGACTTGGAAGACGACTTGTGTCCGCCTGAACCGAAGCCGCCGTGGATGTTCTGTGACCCCGACCAGCCTGGCGCATTGAGCTTTCGGGGGCCAAACTGCTTTGCCGCGGCTGCCATGAGGCCCTTCTCCTTCCTGTACATGGCGAAGAGCGTGTTCAGGTTGGTGTCGTATGCCTTCTCGCGCTCCATTGAATCCAGCGTCTCCTTGACGATTTGCGCGACACTCGGGTCTTGCCCATGGCGAAGTAGGTGTTTGACTGTATCGGCGAATTGCTTGTCGAGGTTCTTGGTGAAGGAGGGTCCTGGGTTGTCGGCCAGGATCCTAATGAGCATGACAGAATTGTATTGGACATGAGGGCGGTTGAAGTTCTCTTTGGAGAGGAAGATGCGGATCTGTCTTGCGGCGGCTGCGGCTGCGCTGGGGCTTGCGACGGCGGACTCGACGATGGTAGGCAAGTGGAGGACCTCTTCACCCTGGGCATGTTAGTATGGCGTGTGGATGTCATGGGGTACCGAACATACCGAGTTGGCGGCACCAGACTCGCAGAAGAGCATCTACTCGCTGTCAGCTTGGTGGATGCGACGAAGCGGTATGACCTACCACTCCCTTGGTAGCATTGGCCTCGGGCGTATCGGCGTTTGTGTCGATATTGACATCCTGGGCTGCGTGCGCTGTCAGTGTTAGGGTGAAATAAGTAAACGAAGGAGATGCGACGCACAGGATCGTTTGCGCATCAAACTGCCCAACTTGAGGCGCTTCTTGAGGTCCATATCTGCCTTGGTAGCGGGGCCGTTCCGCCACGTAAAACGGTCGCAAGGGTATTTGAGGGCAGCTGTGCAAAAAGAAAGCACAGGAGCGCAAAGAGGCCAGAGTCGCGAGGCGGGGGCGTAAGCGTAAGGGAGGCAGATGCGGTACTATCGAGGTGTTGATCGAGGCCTCCAACGCGCCTTCCTCGCGCGGACGGACGGTTACCTAGGTAGGGCTGCGCCTCTTGTCGCCAAGCCATGACAGACTCGCGAAGCACGACGGCCGACGTAAACAGCCGCGTATAACGTGTGGCGACGCTGCACCCATCTCTGTGCTGCTCTCAAATCTGCTCCTCTCCTTCGGCACATCTACGCGTCCTGGATGGCGTAGGCTGTGCCAAGACCTGCCATCGGCCTTTACCTGCAGACCCCACTGGCCCGTAGTCTGCGTTAATCGGACCCTTTCCGTTCATCCACCTTGGGGCCATCGCAGAATACGTCGACACAGTAGCACATGACCGGGTCCCTAGCCTGTGGCACCGCCGCGTGATACCATGTCGCGCCTATTCGACGGGCGACACCAAGATGAGGAGGCCAAAGGCGGTAGAACACAGAACCAAACCAGGGCAGCGATGACAATAATTTCCTTTGTCGCCGAGCGAGGTATGACGGTGACGAGTTTGAGCGCAGTACCGATATAGCCGTTCCGACGCGACTGTATGCTGCAAGATACGTCAACCTCACGTCGCAGCATGACTCTTCAGTAGCACCCGATTCCACCTCGTCCTCGACAAAGTCTGGCACAGCCAAGCATGGCTCTCATCAACCGACACTGTCAGCGATACCCCATCTGAGCGCAAGGGTATTGACCGTCACGCGTACCTGCAGATATCAAGACTCACACCTGTGAACTGACCCAAGATAGCTTGACCTTGGTTACGTCACTCCGCTAGCATTGGCACGACGAGACGCACCCATTTGCAGCAGCCTGCTGCGACTGCACTACTCCGCTGTTAGTGTTGGAGGCTGCGACTACCTCAGAAGTGTCGCGAAGTGCTTAGCTTTGTCTGGCGTTGGCGTCTTGCTAGACCCTCGCATTATTCTCCGCCTGCAGTGTGGCTACCTGCACTTGCAACACCAGCTGAAAGACGAAGAAGCTCGTTTGGGTCCATTTGTACTTTGGAGCATACCCCAGGTACAACAGTACCCATTCTGGAAGACTCGTAATACAAATGACTACCTTTACCCTAAGGGCGCAATTTCGAGAAGAGGTCCAGGTAGAAGGCAACGTTTACTGTGAAGTCACAAACAGCTTGCGATTCATCATCTCGCTCAGCTGCTGAGTTGTCACTCCTAACTCGAGGCGATACGCCGACAAAGTTCAAGGATCGGCGCGCTCGGCAAGCGATCATTCCTACAGGATGCGGAGCCATGGCTTGGCTAAACGTCATCCCTCATGCACACTGGGCCCATTCCTGAGACACCGCAACAGCCACTCGTCAAGTCCTGGTCAAGTGCCAGGCACAAAGTATATGACCTCGACCATGGCCCTCGCCTCCCTTTGTCCCGTGCGATACACCCACCTCCTGACCTCACCAACCCACCAGGCACCCGCGCCTTTGTCTAACAGTACCATCATACAAAATGGCTCCCGAATCCGCTTCCGCCATGGCTGGCCGTGCTCGAATGCGCACCGAAGAAACCGAACAAGACCGCATCACCAGAGAAAACTCAGGCTTCGCCGCATTTGAAGCAGACATGCCGAAACTCACCAGCCGATTCAGCTTCTCTCTCAAGGACAACCTTTCATCATATTTTGGTCGCAAGAACCCTTTCTACAACAACGTCAATCCAGAGACCGACTATGTGTGGATCCTGGATACTACGGCATACCAGAATCGCCTAGGAAGGTGGAATGCCGAGTTTGTCGCTGCCTATTTCGTCAAGAACAGTGGCAAGGATCTCTCCAAGATCGTCGCATGGGTCAGCGAGAAGATCGGTCTAGCGGACGACGAGCAAGCCAGGGCAACTGTCGCACAGAGGCTCCAGCCATTTGCAGACCAGATTCTCCCCGCACATGCCGTCCAAATTGACCTTCTGGGCATCAACACCAGACTGGGTCCCAGCGGACGTGACGGCATCAGCTCCGATGTCTTGGCTATCCCAGGAAACGACTACAAGGAAGGCCAAGTCAACAAATTCAAGGCCGTCAACGCCGATGCAACGCCGTTCAACATCACTTTCGCGAAACCCAAGGGCTGGGCCATCCTTTCCGACGTTGACGACACGATCAAGAAGACGCTAACTTCGTCACCCGTCGGTATCCTGACCACCACCTTCGCCGAAGAGCCAGAGCCCATCAAGGGTATGCCAGAACTGTACAGGCACATTGTACAAAAACTCGACAACCCGCCCTTCTGGTATCTCTCAGCGTCACCATACAACCTCTACCCATTCCTGCGCAAATTCCGCGAGCAATACTACCCCAACGGCACCATGATCCTGCGTGATGCTAGCTGGATGAATCTTGCTGGCTTCCTCGCAAACTTGACTCAGGGCACTGAGGCCTACAAGGTTGATCGCATCGAGAAGGTGCACGGATGGTTCCCCAAACGCAAGTTCATCCTCATCGGCGATTCAACGCAAACAGACCCTGAATCTTATGGTGAAGCCTACCGGAAGTTCGGCAAGAACTGGATCGGCGCCATTTACATCAGGAAAGTCACGGGCGTAGCGGAGATGGACGAGGGCAGGAAGAACGACCCGGAGCGATTCGAGAAGGCGTTCAAGGGTGTACCGAAAGATATCTGGTACATATTTGAGGATGCGCAGGAGCTGTATGCGAAGATTGATGCTTTGCCTAAGATTGAGTAAGAGTTGGACGTTTCTAGTTTATGAAAGACTGTGGATCATGAAGGAGCTCATTTGGAGCGCTTGGGATGATGTGGCTAATGCTTCTTTGATACTGTTTATTTTACGCGAAGGCATGCCAATGGGTCAATTTCGGCACACGAAGGGACATACTGGAGTACGGCGTATCCTTGATCGTTTACTTTACATAGCCAAGCAACACGATACCCAACTTTTTGTTTTGTCTCCAGCTTTCCCCTCAATCTTGTTCTCTTTCACGTGTATCCCTACTCCATATGGCACATGCTGACACCGACATCGGTGATCGGAAAGGGAGATTGTTGTTCGTTCTTGCCCATCTCATCAGCGTGGCTGGTGTCGGCAAACGAATGCACCACGACATCGGAACATTCTATTTGAATGCTGGGTAAGTCATATGTAACATCATTCACACTGTCACAATACTGAAGACTTGACAACATGTCACCGCACCTGCAACCTCGACGATGGCGATCTGAACTTGTACACAATTTCGCCGCCTAAAGTCTACAGTGAGACCACCGTCATGTACAGACAGACTACCCTCGTATACATCCAGCTGCTCGACATGGCAGCAGGCCCACTACACCTGCAGCAGCCCGGACCGATACCTCTATACGTCCTTCTTGTTCTCGTAGTCGGCATCTGCTGCTACTTCTTCTTCATAGGCACCGCCGCAGTACGTCTCTGGTTCTACAAAGGCGCCCTCGGCCCCGCCCCAGAGAGGTTCATCGTGATCAGGAACGAAACTCAAGAAGACGGCCATAATACGGCGCCGATTCACAGCAAACACAACGAGCATGGAACAAGTGCTGAAACCCTAAGGAAGCGGCGCATGACCGTCTTCACCCACGACTCGTTATCAGCGCCAACAGAGACTATAGCACACAGCACCGCGTTCTCCCCCCGAAACCTCTCCACCGCTACAACAACAGTCAACCTCCAAGACATCTCAGACATCTCAGACCTAAGCTCCTTCACAAACCCGCAAACGCGAGCCTACCTAGCCGAAGAACGCCGCATCTCGCGCATGCCCGCCTTCGACGCCGACGACTGCGGAACAGGAGACTACTTCCCAGACATACCCCTTACAAACCGGCCCATCGAATCCACGTCCCTCCATTCCAACACCCTTACTGCCTCCCATCTAGGTCTCACACCCACACCCCGCAGCAACTGGCTCACCATCTCCCCCCAATACATCGAATACCACGCCGCGCGCACCCACCTCCTCTTGCGCAACCGCTCCTCCTGCATCCACGTCACCCCCGAGGGCGAACGAGCATGTCGCGAACTACTACAGGAAGTCACGTCTTTCCTCGTGGACATGTATCCGCACCAATTCCGTTTTCTGACGAAGACGCGCAGGAAGCACGTGCTGAATGAGCTCACAAGAGAGGATTTCGAAATAGAGCATGGGTTGGAATGTCATCCGTTGGAAGTAGTTGCTAGGTTGTGTGCGGAGGATTTCATGGTTTGGGGGCGGAGTGAGAGTACGTTGAATTGGTATTTACAGGCTGCTACGACGCTGTTTCCGAGCGGGTATGTTGTAAGTCCGTATATGGGGAAGACGGTTGATATGGTGGTGGGTGGGGAGGGGATAGGGAAACCGGGTATGGTGCCTTGGTCTGGTATGTATTTCTTTGCCCTCCTCCCTTGAAAGATAGTTGTGGAACTCAAGCTAACAAACATCTCACAGACCTCCAATCCATCCTCAAACTCACCCTCCCAACCCTCTCCCCCTACTCCTCCACCGGCCCCCTATCCCACACGCAAACCTTCATCCAAACCCGGCCCCTCCGCGCCACTCTAGCATCAACCCTCCACATCCCTCGCCCCATGGACTTTTTCGCTGGCCACATAGCTGATCTGCAGCCAACTGAACTGCTCGTGCGTACAGAAACGCAGATGTATGCGCGTTTGCCCAAATCAGGTGCTGTCATTGTGACGACGCGGACAAGCACCGAGACGCTAAGTGAGATGAAAGATAGGATGACGATGAGGGAGAAAGAGGCGTTCTTGAGGGAGATCGGGCAGTGGGGAGAGGAGGAGGCGAGGGTGAAAGGGAGGGATTTGTGGATTGGGGTTGTGGAACGGTGTTTGAAAGGTTAGTTCTCCTGAGTTGGCATTGCTGC